CTTAATAGATCTTCATCAAATATTCCTCTGTTCCTCTGTGATAAAGATGCAGATAAATTAAGATTGAACCTGTTCTGCTGTTCGGCATGTGGATGTTGACTTGAAACATGTTCCTGTGATCTTGACAATGTTTACATTAACTAACATGTCAACTGGGAATACACTATGACTATTAAGAACAATAAATACGAATTGATATGAAGGAAATGTTGCTTGCGTTATGATGACATGAGTGTGTGTATACTTGGTGGTAAGATACCATAACGCCTTTTTGATCAGTGTGTCATATCTTTTACAATGTATTGATGATTGCCTGTGTAAAATAAATCAAGAAAACCAAAGTCAACCTTCCGATAGGATGTCGTATTATTATCCACCAGCTTTAAGGGTTTCACGGCATGTAAGTGCAATACTGACACTTCTCAAAACATATCTCCTTCTGACATCAGCTGAATTGTTGTTTCTGCCAGAATGTCAATAAACGAAAATTTGCATGACAGTTCAACAGTATCTTCGACATATTTAGTATTGTTGATACTTTGTAAAGCACGGAGCTGGAATTCTCTTATATTTTGCTGATCTAAATTCAAAGTACCAACTTTTGTTTCCTTGTAATGGTTTTTCATGTATACAATGCCAACCAATGGTATATATGATCTTCAAATGATATAGCTGAATCAGAAAAACATATTTTTGGAAAAATTACCTTTAATTTGTAAAGTTCAACTCATATTTTCTCATCAAATGCCCTTTCTATTTAAATTGACCTTTGACCTTACCAAAATATTATTGCGATGAGCTTATATGAAATATTATTGTCCACAATTTTAAATCATGGTCTGAGCATTCCAAAACTATTTTTTTATGAAAATCGGTCAAACCAAACCAGAGTTATTAAATTAAACCATCCAGTTATCGCTTAAAATATTGCCATAACTGACGTGAGAAGTTGCACCTTAAAAGGGCCCCTGCACGGTAGTCACGCACGGTAGCTGATGACAACCGGCTTCAAATCAAAGCTAAATCATTCCTGATTGTGAAAAATCACATCCCGTTTGGTCGCCAGAACTGCGCCACATTTTCACCATTTTGGGGGTCTGGCTTCTAGACCATGTCAAGGACAGTGACTTGCACATATAAGGATATTAAGAATAATTTTGTGAGGTGAGGTGAAATTTTATTTTACGTCGTGCTTGAGAATATTTCGCTCATATGACGACGTGCATGCGTGTGTATGTGCGGCTGCTTGTACTTGCCCAGACATAAGCTGGTTTTATAGCGCTAGCCCACTGAGATACCACCATGCCACAGGGAAGAATGAATACCCCACTCAGACACATGATACTGACACCGAGCCGACCAGTCCTTGTACCTATTAATGCCGAGCGCCAGTCAGGAACCAACAAGTACCATATTTTAACGTCTTTTGGTATGACGCGGTCGGGGATCGAACCCGCGACCTTCCGCTCTCCAATAATTTGTGACATATATAAACGTCAATAAATATACTGAGGGAAACAAATAAGGGAACACCACTTCATGGCAGTGGTCCTTTATTTATTCTCAGATTTCCACCCACAGCGCTATTCAAAGCTTGTGATGAAAACTGGAGAATAGTAAAGGAACACTTCAAGGCTAGCTCCCTGTCGTTAAATCCCCAGATCGAGTCCTGGAAGTACCTCTAGTACAGCATAAATGCTGTCTAAAATTATTGATGCTTGATTCTGCTCGGTTAAAAAGACTAACCGTTATCCGACTGATTAAGCCTTTACACATAAAGAATGAGCGTATGAACACAGCGAGCTTTAGACAGTGATGTATCGATTGATACAAAGGCTACCGTAACTCATATGAATATCGGATTCCGATCGATATCAAAACAACAACTTATCAAACAAGATAAAATTTCTTTCAGAACACACACATTTACCTGAACGTTCATCGTCGCACCTCCAACCATCACAATTTACATTATTGTTTTATCACTATCACGGTAAACAGGAATGGTAAACCAACCTTGCACCATAACTGTGTTCAGGTATTGACAGAATGGAAACTAAACCCTTCATACCATAAACGTACGTTCCTCACTCGGCTGGCAAACGAAACAGGTGCTTACGAGAGGCGTTCACAAAGTAGCCAGTCTCACCTAGAAAATAATACAAATGCTGCTGTTTTTATGTTTTATTTTTCTACATATTATCTGTCAAGCTCAATCTAACTGGTTTTGCTATGTTCCAGCCTCCCAATCCCCATTTTGTTTGACTTTGGTTGCCCAAAAACGCAAATTCTGCAGTAAAATGATCACAAACTTCAGGAAAGAAAATATGCAAGAGAAAATATGCAAGAGACTTTTTTTTGTTTGAGAAAGGTAGAAGTCCGCCAGAACTAAAATTAGATATTAAAGTACATTAAAAAGCAAGTTGAAACTACAATCGCTTGTTAAAGTGACTCTCCCCTTCATGTATACTGAAAGAGCTTGTTTTGGAGGCAGTACCCACCCCCCATTTCAGAGATTCATAAGGAGACAACTTATTCTAATGTTTTCACTGATTCATACATGATTCCAAGGGTTCAAACTAAATACCGAATAGTCATACAAGTGTCAGCTCTCAATGTATTGTAAACATAGCCATTTTGAATATCTGGATATATGTTTTTGAAAGATTAAGTCTAAATATAAATCAAGCAATCCAAATCCTTGAATGTGGATGCTTCGTTTGTTTGTTTCTTTGCTTAACACCAAACTCAGCAATATCCTAGCTATATGACGGCGGTCTGTAAATAATCGTCCCTGGACCAACAATGTAGTTGGTGACATCTTGAGCATCTATCTACAAAATTGAGTGAGTGAGTGAGTGAGTTAAAATTTAACGTCACATCGGCAATACTGCAGCCATAAAAAAATTATCGTGACGAGGATTTGAATAAGAAATAAAGCCGTAATAAATAAAGTCAAATTATAAAACCCTGTCAACGACTGACTGACTGAGTTTAGTTTTACGCCGCTTTTAGCAATATTCCAGCAATATCACGGAAATGGGCTTAACACATTGTGCCCATGTGGGGAATCGAACCCGGGTCTTCGGCGTGACGAGCCAACGCTTTAACCACTAGGCTACCCCACCGCACTGTCAACGAAGGTCAGTAAAATAACTAGAGGATCACAGATAAAACTAGTATGAAAAACTAAAAACTTTTAACTATAGAAGACAATACAATATAAAAACAGGATATATATTGCAAACAACTGAAGGTAGATCACCATACTAGGGACCATGGGGACTTACAGTACATTTGCTTCCTGCGTGGACCCTAGCTGGATTTACACCACCCCTGCAGCCGTTAGCAATTCAGTCAAATCTAGCCATACATTAAAATGACACATATTCTACGATTAAATAGGTGGTAAGAATATATTTATCTTGAATGTTTTGGGACTTACGTACCCGCTCAGGGGGACAATAATTTTGCAGTACTTCAACCCCCTTTGAGCATACAGCCACTAACAATCTCAGTTGCTGATTTAAACTAAACCAATTATAAAATACATCTATCTACAAAACATATCAATCAAAATGAATCAATTAAATTAATTTCTTTTAAAAAAACAATAATTAAATGAAAATTAACACTTGTAAAAAGATCCTTAACAGTTTTAACATTGAAATATTTATCCCTTGTGATGGAAAATTCAACACAGTCAAGCAGAATATGCTTGACCGTGGTTCTCTCATCACAAGGGATACATCTACACAATTGAGGTACGATGACATGTGTCTCACCACCCTAACTAACTCACCACCCGATCCTATTAGTCGCATCTGACGACAAGCATGGATTGCTGATGACAAATATAACCCGGATCTTCACAGGTTTCAATTTAAACTGCAAACCTCACAGTAAGAAAGCATAAATGAAGCGTGTTTATATGTGCATATGAGTGGCTAAAAGGAAAACTATATAAAGTCGTTGCATTTACGAGTAATAATTTCCACATCGAATTTTAACATGACACCGTCATTAAAGACGAAATCCTTCCCACTGAAATTACTATTCGCAGTACTATCAAAACGTGCAAACAGTTTACTTGCTTGTCTGGCCAAAGGCGCGTAGTGAATCATGTAAACAATGATGTAGGGCCCGTAAGTAAGTCACGGCACTTTGCGAGACCTCAGTACTTCCGGTAACAAACAACGTTTCATACCTTTTCGAATGGTCTCATGGTTGTCAGATGTCAGTAAGGAACCGATAACCTTCCAGGAATAATAAATTCCCGATCTAACCATCCAAAACTTAGCCAACTTTTACGACTGGTCCGGTCTAGCAAAGTCATATGTGGCGGTCGCGCAATTTGGAACCAGAACTGGTTCTTGAATATACGCTTATCACCAGAAATCTGTTACAGGAAGTAAGCTGGGCCCCGTCTCACTTAGTACCGGCAGAGCATCTCGCGAGACATACAGGCCCTAATAGTAGCAGAACCTTGCAATAGCATATACAATGTAGTATGGTTAACAAAACTGCATTCAATAATAGATTACTATTGGCCTTTCTATATGCAGCTGCTTACTGCAATATTTATTTATTCAACAATTCCATATATTTATTGTTAAGTGGTTGGCGTGTGGTAAGGTATATGGCTTATTAAACTGGCATCAGACTTGGGTGTTGTACGTGATCTTCATGTTCGTCAGTGTGTAGTGAGTGAGTGAGTTTAGTTTTACGCCACATTCAGCAATATTCCAGCTACATGGCGACGGTCTGTAAATACTCGAGTCTGGACCAGACAATCCAGTGATCAATAGCATGAACATCGATCTACGCATGTGTCAACCAACGTCAACCAAGTCAGCGAGCTTGACCACCCGTTAGTCGCCTGTTACGACAAGCATAGGCTATTGAAGATCAACACTAACCCGGATCTTCACGGGGCCGTCAGAGTGTATACAAGTGAACTTCTTTGTGTGGCGTTTTGAAGTACAACACTGACAATGTTATGGATCACAAATTCTTCTATTTTGTGAGCACGTCATTTTGGTACAGATTCTTGTACTGCTGTGCAGCGGGACAAATACCATTTTCAAAGATGGACACGATTTTTTCCAAATGTATATTTTTATTTACGACGTAAAAATGTCATGTCCTTCTTTGAGTGTCACACTATGATAATACACAAATTGAGTCATTGATAGATTGCGGGCTTCGGCATTATATGTGTATATATATTATCGATTGTTGTTTTTTAGCTCGTCAATAAATAGAAATCGGAAGAAAGTGGAACCTCATACTTTGCTCACAAACTGTTAAAATTATATCTATAGAGTGCAGATAAAAAGACGCGTGTATTTCAAAGGGAAACGTTCTTGCCACACACAAAATAAAACAGAATCACGCACTCGCGGACACGCACGCACTCACTCACTCACTCACTCACTCACTCACTCACTCACTCAGGGTCTGGGAGTCATTTTTGCGTTCTGAAAAGTCTCCCTGCACAAGTAACCAAGGTAAAACCAAGGATCATAACGGTTTTTCGTTTGGGAAAATAACTGGATTTGTACCCGAGGCTTGAATTCAGACAATGGGAGATACATTGAGTATATGACCTGCTGGTCGGTGTTCATTAAACGTCGTTTCAGCAACATCTTGACTGTATTCATGTAGTCTTCAGTATAACTGTGCAACACTTCAGGCGTTCCAAGAAACATGGCACCACCTACCCATACCTGGTTTCCTTTGATTACGCTCTCTGTTGTTGCTTTATCATTAAAATCATACACACGGCTATAGGCGACTTTGCGTTTGTCCCATTTGTCTGGTACTTGAAGCTTGAAGATCGAGGTATCGTCAACAAGAGCACGAAAGAGTCCAATATCCAACCAACAAAAATATTTGGTAGGAAACAGTTCTTCCATTAAGACTTTGTTAACTAGCTCAAACTTTGCATGCATCGCGCATGAGTAGTTCTCATTTACTGTGTTTGGATGATGACGTGGATAGTTAGGCTGACTGTAAATATTTCGAATTTCTTTTGCCAAAGAGAAGGACCACAGATTGGCCCTATCTATTAGAAATACCTTTGTAATGTTGCTAGGGAACCTACGTCTGAGGCCCGTGAGTAAATCAAAGACATCTCTGGAATCCGTATATGCTACAAGGTTGTTCCTGATGCTGCCAAACACCTTCATCCAGTTCATATAACGGCTAGGTGTGTACATGTTAGACATGCTGCCTTTGGCGAAGGAGCCAATGTTAAAATATGCTGTTACGACGGTGATTTCTGGTTGCAGAAGGGTTGGGTCTTCATAACGTTGTAACAGGGTCTGAAAGAAGGATATCTGTGATAGAATTCGATAATGTCATGTCATTTTTGAACCGGAAAGATCAAGGTTAGAATTGGTCTTCAGTAACCCATGTTTGTCGTAAGTGGCTACTGAGTGGATGGTATGGTCCGACTCGCTAACTTGATTCATGCATGTCATTGTATCCCAATTGCGTAGATCAAGGCTAAATGAATGTATTGTTCTGTCCAGACTCGTTCATACAGATCGCTGTGACATAGCTAGAATACTGCTGAGTGCGACGGTAAAAAACAAACAAACGAGAATGCACTTAATGTATAATGACCACGGATAAGTGTACTTGTGAAAGCAGGTAAACTTGCAGGTTACATAAAACAGCATATGCTTAAACTTTGAGATATGTCTGTTAATGCAAATACACTGTTAAGTAACCAAGGTAAAATCAAACGGGGAATATGAAACGTAATATCAATATATCTTTTATCTTCAGACAAGGCAAATGCACCTGCCCACCTTAAGAGTCTTCGTGTCTTTGTTGAAGGCCACTTGCATCCCGGAAGAGAGAATTTGTGGCGGTGAAAAACTATTGGTCTGAAACATTACAAAACAATGTCAGATTACTAACAGAATATACGCATCGCATAGAATTCTTCAGGCTGCTCGAGTTGTACAGTATAGCTTAAAGTGGTACAATCTACAATAATTAGCACATATAAATGTTTGCAACATCTCATGCATGCTTGCGCTGGCAGGACTTACTCAAAAAGAAAACAAAAAGGTTCATTTTATGCTGTGTCTTTGCAAATAGTCATCGACCATGAATGCCTGAATCTAATGGAAAGATTCACAGGATGTGATGTATTAAGAATATCGTTGACTTTAGCATTGAAACTAAAGTCCCTACATCATTTTAAATAAATGTTTTCAATTATATTCATATTTTGGTAGGCCCAGATTTCGCAACCATATAATAATATCGGTGATATCATCACGTCAAAAGCCTTCAGTAAATAGTCCAGAGGAACATCAGAATTTCTAGATTTCTTTAAAAGACAGAACATGGCTTTAGATGCACACTCTGATAAACATTTGATTGCTGACCTGAAGTTCCTGTTTCTACTGAATATAACACCTAAGTATGTGCAATTATCTACGATCTCAATTTCGGTATTTACCAAATAAAAAGATAACCTACATTTTTTGGACGGCCGGTTTCTAAAGATAAGAACTTTAGTTTTTTTCAGGTTAACATTCAATTTCCAGATATTGCAATAGTCTTTAAAGGAATCTAATGTTTTCTGGAGTTCAGTTGCAGAATCAGCAAGTAGGACCGTGTCGTCCGCGTAGAGAAGGATTAGTGAGTGAGTGAGTTTAGTTTTCCGCCGCACTCAGCTATATTCCAGCTATATGACGGCGGTCTGTAAATAATCGAGTCTGGACCAGACAATCCAGTGAACAACAGCATGAGCATCGATCTGCGCAAGTGGGAACCGATGACATGTGTCAACCAAGTCAGCGAGTCTGACCACCCGATCCCGTGAGAAGGATTAAGAAACAGATACATAATTGCACATGTAAATTGTTCGAATCGACAATTCTAACAACCGTGCATCCGTCTTTCAGTAGGAATGTTTCAAGATCATTGATGAAGAGACAAAATAACAGAGGTGATAGCTTTTCTCCTTGCCGCACGCCTGAATAACATAGAAAATACTGTGATACGGCACCATTTATAGACACACATGACCTTATATTTGCATACATATTTTGGACTAACTGGAAAAATTTACCCTTAATACCACATTTTAGCACGTTATGCCATAAGCCACTCTCCACACATTGTCGAAGGCTTTTGAGAAATCAATAAAAGCGCAATATTATCTTCTCTTACTTTGTTTAAGAATTTGAATAAGCATAGACAAAGATGAGTTGTAGAGTAACTCTTTCTAAATCCGGCTTGCGCTGAATTCAAAATATTATTTATCTCCAGGAAATCATTTAACGTTTTATTAAGAACAGCGGTGAAAAGGTTTCCAAAGAAGGTAAGTATTGTGATGGGTCTGTAAGCTTTAGGATCGGATCTGGTACCTTTGCCTTTGTATATTCCTGAAGATAATATTAAATTGAAATAATCGACAAATAGAATCGACAAACATCAAACGAATCAATAAGATAGTCGTTCTCAATTCTGTCGGACCCTGAAGCTTTATTACGTTTAAGACTCTTAATGGACTGTGCCATTTTATCCAAGGTTTTTTCTCTGTTCAACACATTGTCATCATAATACGTTTCTTCGTCAGTTTCTTCGTTTGCTTCCAGATCATCCACATGGTGTTCACCGTTTACATTCTTAAAAGCTAAAAAAATCAGTGATATTGGGTGTTTCCGAATTTTGGTTTACATTACTTATATTGAGAATCTTCGAGAATTCCTTAGGTGAATGTTTAGCTTTTTCTCTTATCATTGTGCTAAATTCAGTTTTGTACTTATTGATATGTTTATTAAGACACCTCTTATATTCCTTTGAACTTTGTTGATAATTACGTTTGTCAATTGTTGATTTATGTTTAAAGTATCGACGTTTTGATTTGTAGAATGTTTTACGTTTATTTCTACACTCTGTCCCAAACCAGGGTTTACTATTTTGACTGTTTGTCGGGCCGTGATACAATGGGTGGATTACCGAACAGCTAACGCCATATCCCGCCTAATTCCTGTTGTGTTTTATATATACAAATAATACGAAGCAATAACCCAGGTAACACTTTCACGTTGTCCCAACGTTCTGTGGACTCCAATTATCGTTGTCATGTGACGTTGTAATAAGTCATTTTCACGTCGTCACAATGTTAAAGTTATTTGATGGTAACGTATTTTACGTTGTCTTTACGTTCTATTTAACATTGATTATTAGCTGCATAAGCTTACTCGTCAATTTCCATGTTGTTTTGGTCGTGTGGTTTCTGAAGCTGTAGCTGAATAGTGAAGAAAGATTAACAAAGTGACAAGTTTTACAGAAAACTCTATCGTAACAGCAAGCTATTGGGTAACAGACGATACACAACGTTTTGACAACTTATATATGTAACGTTGCTGTACCGTTGTGAAATAACGTTATAAAAGGACGTAATACTAATGTTCTGACAACGTTGTGTCATGACGTTACCAATCTACAACCTTTCCACAACGTTGCGAAAACGCTGTGTGTTAGCAGGGAAGTAATGCTAACAAAGAACCGTTCAGTGGGAATCATACACATACACATACACATACAGAGGCAAGAAAGTCCTGTCCCCAAATCATCAAATATCCATAATTGTTTTCAACTCTTGTCGACTGGTCTGAACACCCATGTCAGGCTATTCCGTACAAACGGTGCGCCATAAACATTTAGTTGTGACCGAAGTGTCGTTGCTTTGACGCGTTATCGTCTGTTTTCAGTTGTGTACAGAAGGTTGATAAACTCTTTCCTCGTTCCTGTAACAGGAACAAGGAAAGAGTCCCTTGATCGATAGTTGTCGGCCTTGATAGTCCATTACTATTCCAGTATATAAAGCAGCCAACATGATTTGTACTTCCTCAGAATCTTGTGAAATATAAACATTACGTTGAAAATAGGATTCGTGCATATAAATATATGATAACTATATTTCACGATTTAATATTACATTACAGAGGATAATTCGATCGATCTCTTGTCATTTGTTTGAAGACAAAATTTGTCAACTTTTAAAATAAACACTTACATTGGCGCAAATTTATTATCATTTATCTATTTCTCACAGGTGTTTTCACTATTCGTTTATTTGGGTTTATAAAAGATAACTAAATCGCAACATTTTCCCAATATCGCCAACGTTCTGCACAGATTACAGAACTTATTACTTGATCAGTCGTATAATTGATTTGTATGTATGTTGCTTTTGAGGTTGAATGGATAATTTCTCATGAAATTATTTATTTCAACATGGACAGTAGTGATAATAACCGAACTGTTGTTGTTTAAAGATATCATATTCGCGCTCTTATAGGACCAAGGATACACGATTATTTAAGACTAACATACATTTGGCCTTTTGTGGCACTTTTAGTATCGGTTAACAATACCTTAAGTAATTGAAATTTGAGTAATTGATTTTTTTTCTCTTTTCGTCTTGTTTCGATTTATATATTGTATGTTAAACGACAGTTTTGCTGGAAGGTACTCTGGAAGCTCTGATGCTACACACTAAGAAAAAGCTGTCACGACCAGCTAGTTGAAAAGAAATACAGAAATGTAATTTTATTCGGTAATAGCCGTTTGTTCGAAAGTACGCAAAACGCCGTGAATGGCGATTTAGTAATACATGTATGTCAAAACTGGCGAGATTAATGATACATGTTTCAATGATACATCACATCAAAGTTAGGGTTGATGAGGAGGGATATACTGTACGATTTATAAAGAAATTAGGCAGCAAACTTAGAATGCCGGCACATTCACTGATGACCAGCTGGATGTAGTGCATATACCTTTCACTTTTGCTGAAAGAAGATATTATTGGAAGGTGACCGACACAGGTTGAATGTTATATAATTTGTTTACGTGGTAACACTTTTCGTACAATACCGTGGTAACACTTTTCGTACAATACCTTAAGTGGTAACACTTTTCGTAAAATATATACCTTTTTCCCAAACCGCAATGTTATTACAATGTGGAACTGACTGGTACACAAAGCCAGCTGACGGCCAGGTGTAAACGGTGCTTTAAAACCTGGCAAAATATTTTATCGAAAATGCATTTATTTTAGTGGTAACTACTTGCCAGCAGTTATGTCCCTTCAACTATGCAGCACGTGTTGATAGGTACGGATGCGCACTTGAATTTGTTCCATGCAACTTGCGTTCCAACATAAAGGCCTGAGCGTTAAAACTATGCTTTCATTGTAAATTCAGGTATATACAAAGCACCAAAACACATCCCCTTGCCCCATTATAATATTATGGACATGTTTGCTAGGTTTCATGTGAAGACATTTGTTTTAAAGTTGTTAATTCATCATTTTTAGGGTAACCAAGTTACGCGACACTGAATTGAGACAGGTCATGTGGTAGATTTCCATGTTTCGCTGGGTTTTTACCAAATAAGTTTCTTTTGAGGATTCGTTTGTATAAAGATATTTTCTGGTATATATTTACAATATTCTAGTCATCTAGAAAGTGCAACAAGTATTTCAAATACTGATCTTCAGTATCTACTGGTCATTTTGCACGTGGTTGAAAGAGTTATGTCCCTTGGATCAAGTACACATTCGTGTCAATGTCAATCGTCATTTGGTTGTAATGGAAAGAAGGTCCTTTGTTTTACTCAATGATAATCGTTATTATTATTATTATATTTGAATAGCAGCTAGGCAATATCGGGTATATTTTAATGTAAAATTGTCATGTTTTGTCATTCTCAGTAACTAGAGTAAGGTCACTCTGGCCATTATATCACATGGAAATATAGTTTTCTCAGCTAGATTTGAGTTATTTCAAAGCTGCATTTCAAATTGTTTAAAGTCATGTTTATTCTTCTTTCGTGGAGTACAAATTAGAATCTTAGTACATAACTTTTTGTCGTCACAATATGGCTACAATATTGCCGATGTGACGTAAAATATTAACTCACTCACTCACTCACAAATTAGAAACGTGTTGTATATATTTAAACACTTTTTATTTAAGTGAGTGAGTGAGTTAATATTTATCGTCACACTTTCTATTTGAACTTAATGTTTGGTAAAATGTGTATTTCAAAGTATTTTATTGAAGCAAGTGTTACTAGTATTTCAAATGTGGTCTTATGTTAAGTCATATATTTCATTATTTTATGCAAAGTGTTCAAGTTAAATATTTAATATAGCATAAATATGTCAGGTTCCAAGTATATACAGGCATTAAGTTTAGATAAGTAACACTTTGAGAAATGTTTTAAAGGTTTAATGTTCAAGGTCATGTGTATTAGAAACTTGTCCTCATACAGCTAAGCCTCACTTAGAGTCATATTGTTCATTGTTGTAAGCTAGGTTTGTTCAAGTTAATGTTGTTGAACAACCATACATATGCTGTAAGCCTTATGAGGTTGAAAGTTAATCAATGATGTGATAACTGGTAACCTTAAAGTTAGATACCAAAGAGTTAATGTGTATCAAGCTAAGGCACTGATTATTGTCAGGTTCAAGTTACAATCCTTGGTGCATGTGCACTTGAATTCGTTCCATGCAACCTGAGTTTCAACATAAAGGCCTGAGCGTTAAAACTATGCTTTTATTGTATATTCAAGCATTGCAAACCATCCAACCCCAAGAACCATCAGTAACCTCCCATGTAGCTGGGGAGCAATGACACAACTAACAAACAACAGACAAGAATTATTAAATTTTTAAAGCTGTTACAGAGGCAACAAGTCGGTTAAAACGGTAGCCTGTACATCGAGACACAAGAACCACACCTATAACTGCACCACGTGCCCTCGACGAGGGCTCGAGTTAAGAGAGGTTAATCTACTTGCACCAGGTGCAACCTAAGATAACAACCTAGTTCCATCAGCCAAATTCCAGTTGCAACGTAGCGTGTTAAAACGTTAGAGGTTTCGGTGCACATAAACATATTTCCGTGATGTAGTACCTATGAAACCATAGAAACTCAGAGACACAGCTGATCCCTGCTTACAAGAGCTGTGATAGCTGAAACGTGTATATGAATAGCAATATTTCAGTGCCATGGCTATTCAACGATTAAGAAGAAAAATGAGCTGACATATTTATGCTTATAATGTTAGATTTATTGTTGATTTATTTCTCAAAATTGACTTGCACCTTGTGAAAGCTAAGACTCATAACTAGGTTGCACTTTGTAATATTGCGTTGCACCAGTGCAAGTAACAAACACTAAATCAAGCCCTGCCTCGTGTCGTTGCCAGGATTAAAAAATTGAGATGACCCCAAGTCGAAAACTGGGCATGAAACATTGTACTGTGAAGCATTTCGACTCGGGTGTCGGGGTCAAATTCCATTTTAACCTTAATCCTCGCAAAGACACGCAGGCCTGTGGGCTTACTGTACCAGAATCACCATAACCCTAGCAACTGCTCCGAGTTATCTCACTCTGTAAATAACAATAATCAGAATATGTTTTGGTATTTAGCACTTACCGCTGCGCTTGGTACCTCCGAGAGTTTCAACCACACGGTCCCTGAAGAAAGAGGACACAGAACATTGAGAGTAGGGACTGGAGCACTGACTGACTGAGTTTGGTTTTACGCCGCTTTTAGCAATATTCCAGCAACATCACGACGGGGGACACCAGAAATGGGCTTCACACATTGTTACTATGTGGGGATTCGAACCCGGCGGGACTGGAGGAAAATGCTTAAGTATACAACAGGTACTGGATTGTGTGTTGTGCTACTGCAGGGGCGGGTAGAGGAGGGGTGGGGGTGCACAGTTCATTTCCACCCGTTTTCACGACAGTTTCAATGATCATTTAATAAACTTTCAGGACAAACGGGACCTGCACACCTCCCCACCCCCACCCCCCTTTGTTTTGTTGAAGTCTTAAGAGTTTACCGATTGACATTATTTATACTCTGTATGACAATGTGATTTTATGATCACTTCTGTTAATGAAAGTATTTTCAAATAGTTACCTTGGTTTTGTTTACTAGAAACATTATATTTTACACGTACGATGGGTGTGGTCAATGTCATATACATGTAACATTCACATATTTACATATTTAATGTTGGTGAGCCAGTGGCATTACTTAAACTGTTTGTGAGATTATTTCAACAGACATAAAGATATGTGTGTGAACCAACTTCAAGATTTCAATACTATGTACATATGCATAAGTATATTTAACAGTACTATTCTAGCCTGCCCCATTGCAAGGCTGCTCTGCATTTTGGTAATAAAACACCTTTAACCAAACTCATTTATTTTTGTCATTTTATTGGGAAATGTGACAATAGTCAGCTTTTGCCTGGTCAGCTGATGCTCCACGACCTTTCTGAATATACAAACAATTAACACCAGGGTTTCATGGATGTCTGTACTTGGACTTCACAGAAAACGTCCACTGTGACATGTTCACCTTAAACATGCTTGTCTATGTTCAGCTGCATGTACTTTATGTGATGCCACAGATATTGGTTTGACTCCCTACCCCAATGCAAATGTATACAGTTGGTGCCCTTGATTTGGATGTGACTGGCATGGTGTATAAAACCAGCTACCTCTACATGACCAGCTTTGAAGACTCTGCCTTATCTATGTCTCCATTCCAGCCTCTATGTCGGTACAGGAAGGTCGATGGTGTGTTTGCCGTCATCCATCCTGACCATGACCCTGGTCAACCACCTCAACAGCCAACATGACCGAATTCAATTTACTATGGAGACCGAACAACCACACCTTGCCTTTCCTCGATGTTTCACTCCATACCTCGCCTGACAAGATCACTACATCCGTCTACAGAAAGCCAACCCACAACGACCAATACATCCACTACCTGTCCAACCATCCCCAGATTAAACGCGCCATAATATCAACTCTAACAAGACGAGCCAAAGCAATCTGTGACCCCGTGCAACTACGTGCTGAAATAGATCACCTCAAGAGAACTTTCATCACCTTCAACGGCTATCCAAACACCTTGTAGAGCTAAAACTCTCAACCCGCAAAACCAACGCCTACCAAAAAATGAACCATTGCCAATCAGGACCAGCATCCCCTACCAAGGCCAGATTAGTCATCACATCAGCCTACTTCTCAGAAAAACTGCAAGCACAGACGTGGCACTTTATTCAGACAAAACTTTGAAGACCATCCTAAAAGCAAATGGACGAGGCACCAGCAATCAGACTACGCACAACCCCCGAGGCTGCATATACCAACTAAACTGCAAGTGTGGCAGTAGCTACATTGGAGAGACATTATGGCCATTTCATATAAGACTCAAAGAACACAAAACATCGGTTGAAAAAGCAGACCACAAATCTGCCCTGTCAGAGCAACCCACCCACTCCATTGGCAACATACCAGTATCTTGGCTACCAATGTTCACGATTGGCAAAAACGAAATATACTAGAAGCCATCAACATCTCTAGATTAACCCCAGAGATTAATAGAGATCAAGGTGTATACCTCCCTAGTGCCTGGAACATCACAAAAGCCGCACCACGCTCGCCTCTACTGTCACGTAATTAGCGGTATATCACTCTGCCGTGTTCACATCTCCTTACCCCCATTGTTTGTGTCAACTGCTTTACCTTATCCCTATGATCATTGTTTTATAAGTTCTTTTCAACTTTCATCATTGATTGATTGTATATACATGTACATTTATGGCTTCCTGTAAATCTGGTGCATATAATATGTTTTCTACACCTGTCTTTATCACCTGAAGAAGGGGCAAGAAATAGCCCAGAAACGTCGTTTTATATAATAAAGAAGAACCTTGCCATCCATATACTCGTCTTGTATACCTCTCATTTCACACTTTATTTAAATATTTTCAAAAGATGTCCCAAACATTTAGACTTCGGATGTCTATAGATTGATCAGTCATCTAGAATGTGGGTGACACAACACTCCCTTCCCCTGTCAAACTCTTAGATACAATGATACATAACTGATACAATGTATATCACTGTAATTAATGTAAAGGTTAGTAGTAGTAGTAGTAGTAGTAGTAGTAGTAGTAGTAGTAGTAGTAGTAGTAGTAGTAGTAGAAGTAGTAGTAGTTTGTACACATGCACTAGGGGTGTTTTCATTGATTTTGTACATGATATCGGGGGTGGGGGGCATTCAATTTGTTCATTAAATATCGGGGGTGGGGCAAGGGTCATCCATGAATCCATGAATTTACTGAAATCATTGGTTGATTAGTGAGTGAGTGAGTTACAATTTAACGTCACCTCGGCAATATTTCAGCCATATAGTGACGAGAAATGTTTTACATAATAAACAATAAATTTAAGATGCTAAATAATCAGTCATCGAAGGACTGTAAAATAACTAGAGTATCACAGATGGAGTCTAAAACTAGCATGAACATGTAAAACTATTTTATTTACGAAGACAATACTATATAAAAACGGGCTATAGGTCGCCAACAACTGGGACCATGCCATTGATTGATTAAAGTAAAGTGTATTTATGACTTGTTAGATTGATCAGTCATCTAGAATGTGGGTGACACATAACACTCCCTACCCCTGTCAAACTCTTAGATACAATGATACATAACTGATACAATGTATATAACTGAATATATATAGTAGTAGTAGTAGTAGTAGTAGTAGTAGTAGTAGTAGTAGTAGTAGTAGTAGTAGTAGTAGTAGTAGTAGTAGTAGTAGAAGTAGTAGTAGTAGTAGAAGTAGTAGTAGTAGTGGTAGTAGTGTAGTAGTAGTAGTAGTAGTAGTAGTAGTAGTAGTAGTAGTAGTAGTAGTGGTGGTAGTAGTAGTAGTGGTAGTAGTGGTGGTAGTAGAAGTAGTAGTGGTAGTAGTAGTAGTAGTGGTGGTGGTAGCGGTGGTGGTGGTATTAATTTTTACACATGCGCTAGGCGTGTTTTCATTGATGTTATACATCATCACCCCACACACTCACACACACATCCCACCCAGCCTTAAGTTATGAACGGTCCCTTTCAAAACTTCCGATCAAACGTTTAACAAACATTTGCATATTTATATATATGCCCTCTCGTTGTACGCTATTCACTTTTACATGTGCACGGCTCATCAGAGGTAGAGGCACTCCCTTGTTCAAGTGAGAAGTAGTGCGTACGAAACACGTATCACGTGGTCACCTAAGCTCCGCCCACTCATGTAAATTTATTCCTACTGTGCGCCTAAGACCATTGTAGGTTTAAGGGCACAACAAACGTAGCACAGAACTGAAAAACATAACTGAAAAACGTGAAATACATTTCCAGAGTTTGCAAGTGAGTGATAACCTTGGATAAATACCAGCGTAGATTATTAGTTACACGGTGTTTTGTGCGCACCCTCCTTTTGTCCTGAAAGTTTGTTCAAAGACCATTGAAAGTCGGGTGAAAATGAAGTGTGCAAACAACTCCCCACCACCCAACCTTTTCCCAATAGTGTGCATCCCCCTTCTCAAAAAGCTGCATCCGCCCCTGTTAAGACCCTTGTAAATTCCGTATTTCCTGAGGCGCTGTCCCGTACACCTTTTCAAAACACTATTTGACGAATTTATTACCCTTAAGATCTAGTTATTTAGCTTATCTTTAAAAAACAACATTCAATCTTTGGGAGAATGAGACGCAAAATATTTCACCATGAGTCTTCCGTAACGGTTATCAAGGGAGATAACTCGTTATGGCTTAGTTTATGACAAAACTTCTCGAATTTTAGCATTTGGTAAATGACAATTGAAATGCAGAAACATAATATTTGTTTTGATATTTTTAATGACACAAACAAATACAAAATTATGCCATCATTTTATTACTCTGTTTATGCACATAAGTGTACAGGGGCGGATACAGCTTTTTTAGTAAGAGGGGGTGCACACTATTGAGAAAAGGAGGGGTGCACACTTCATTTTCACCCGAGTTTAAATGGTCATTTAACAAACTTTCAGCACAAAAGGGGAGGTGCGCACCCCTGCACACACACAATCACTCTCTCTCACACACACACACACACACACACACTGACAGACAGACAGACAGTCAACTCTAAAATTTCGAAGCGATCAGACGTTTGGCAGCCACACATCTAAGGCCACACACATTTGTACAACCCGTGTAGTGTGTCACGGTTAGCACACCCGTATGCTTTGGCTATTAACCAATTTATCTGAAGGGGAATTTATCACCAATAAGCGTAAATTACAAGGTTTCAACGTCAACAATTACTTACAGTAGACGTACACTCCAAAGATAAACACCAGTGTCAGTGTCAGACCAAGTCTCATCCAGGAAGCCATTGCTGTAAAAGATTATAAGTCCTGTATCGATATTGATTGATTACGAAATGCCTAACATTGCCCAGGTAGATGGCACACAATGAATGATATGCGTCAAAGGGACTGATAACCGGCTGCAATATTTTATCGTAACTAATCCGGACCTCTACGGGATGAAATGTGAATGATTCTAAGGTAGTTATGTTGTATTTAATCACCTTTGCGTGGTTTGCATTTGACAATGAACATTCAAGTGTACCGTTTACCTTTCATGGATTGTAAAGACCTTTATTGATTTTCTAAAGATGGAACCCAAACAAGACGTAGCATCATTCAGCATCCTTTTAGTGACATTTGTAATAAATGTGTGAGTGTCAAGCCAAATACATGTGAGTTGGCAGGTCGTCGTTTGGACTTACCTATAAATTATCATCACCTCGTCGCAGATTCCTCCTTGTCTGTCTGTGAAATACGCCGACGTTGCTTGGGAATATTTGCTGAGCATGTTTTTGCTGCTGCAAGATAACGTGAAGTGGTTTACACATATAACAGTGGGCGTTGTACATGTTTACCTTGTGACGGTGGATAACGATAAGCGATTTACCCGGCCATCAGCACAGCAGGTGAATTCAGTACTTGAAACATGCTCGAAAGACGATACCTGACAGTGTAAGAAGATCCCAACGCATGGATGTGGATTGAGCCCGAACAAACTTAACAACGAAGCATGTCATGAATGCACTAACTTTAATTACAGATTAAGGTGAGATAGAGAATACTAAACGATGTCCCTTGTAATACAATATTTATGAAACGAGTGAATGGTTTAGTATCTAACGAAGGAAAGATTTATTGTCTTCAACGGGTGCGTAATAAATGTTCATATCAGCTTGCGGCGATCTCAGTCACATGATTTATAACATAATCTCATCCATCTATGTTTCTGGTCTATAAATAGAATGAATGTATTTTCCTGATGGTATTTAATCTGTCTTAACAAGTGTATACTTTGCGACAAGTCACTGTGTTTGGTTAACATAGCTTTCTCGTTTGTCAAGATGACATCGGGATGGAAATCAACCACTGAACTCTGACAAGAGATAACCCCACTGTGACCTTGTACTTCTAGGCCAAATGTAGAGATAACATCATTATCAGGTGATATGATACACCAGGCCTTATCACCCATACTGCATATCCTGATCATGTTGAACATCAGTGCTTGTCACCGTCCATTAAACCATGTGGTTAATACTCATGAAGTTGGTATATGAACATGTGGACACTGTTTCAACAGCAGGGTAAAACCTTGATTGTTCTAGTAACCTGATGCATTCTGTGTCTTGTTCCACATTGACAAGAATCTCTGGAGGGTGGGAGTTGTCATACCAATTACCGGATAACGCTTTTACTGCTGCTGAGAGATCCTAAAAGATAGGGAGTTTTCTAACATTTGGCCTAGGACTACTTGGCTACGTTGTGTAACCACGTACAAGTCACGAGACGACACCACGGATACATTATCTGTGGGGATGACAACTGACCACAAAGGACAGGGTGGGCTGTTACTGAGATTAGTAAAGGCTGCACGCAATAGATAACAACATCAAATTTACCATAGGCGGATCCAGATGAGGGGTGCAGGGGTGCGCAAATCCACCCACCCCACCCCCATTTGTGCTAAAAGTTTGTTAAATGACCATTGAAACTCGGGTAAAAATGAAGTGTGCACCCCTCCTTTTCTCAATATTGTGCACCCACCCTTTCTCAGAAAGCTGTATCCGCCCCTGTTTACGTTCCTGTTCTCGACGAAGTGTCTTTTATTGTTTTCCTTAAAATCTCTGTCGACGTCGTCTTCTAATGTTTACGACACACTAACTATAATCATCTTGATTTTCAAAAGGACTATATTTGACCTTAACCAGAAACGATTGCCGACCTTCCAAACATTAATATGCAAAGTCCGTGATTATTATAATATTACTAAATGTGCAGGTGAAATGTCAAATAGAGTCGATATGTTTTACAAATTCTGGTTTTATTGTCATTTGCTGTTCATGTAAATGTATTGTGTGATTTGTACCTGTATTTACTTTAAAATTAAATCTTAAATTAAAAAAATACAATTACGGGACCTTAATTTCGTAGAATAGCATCAACAGGATATCAGGGATACGTAAGGGTTTTTTTGACGAACACAAACAGGAATGTTCAATTCATGGAAAATCAAATGAATGAAATCTGTGTTATATTTGATTTAATCAAATTTGCATCCTTCGTGTCTGTTGTATAGTGAACAAACCATCAGACTACAAATGCGCTGACAATGCTTTGGAGTAATTCATTTTCAAGTATGTGTGTGCCAAGCAAGAGCTTTTTCCAGTCGTAGCGGGTACATTTGTTTGTAACACAAGCTCTTCATGACTGTCATGTTGTTTCAGAATATCTACTTTTGCTTGTAACCTTGGTATTTTGCACTGGAATATGTCATCGATTACACTATGTCATGCTCATTTAAGACAAATATCGGAAAATGTGTTTGAAACGTGAACATATTGTACTGTGCTTTAAAAGAGATGTAGGTTCAGAATTGATCTTTAGTAATCCATGCTTGTCGTAAGAGGCGACTAACGGATCGGGTGGTCAAGCTCGCTGGCTTGGATGACACATGTCATCGTATCCCAATTGCGTAGATCGATGCTCATGCTGCTGATCCCATGATTCTCTGGTCCAGACACGATTATTTACAGACTGCCGCCATATAGCTGGACTATTGCAGAGTGCGGCGTAAAACAACATACTAACCAACTTTGCAGAATAGTTGTGGGAGGTTCGATGACGATATTTGTTGTCCGAATTGTCGCCGTGTGCTTGCTTGCATTATGAAACCGGCATCAGTGAAGACGAGTACTATCTATTGGATAGTATGGGTATTGATGGAAATACACTTATTTCTCAACTTCCCAGTATTCGAAATCATTTTGATTTATTTACTTACAGTATGCCGTATGCCTTATTATGTTTGGGTATGTTTGGAAATCAGAGTCCACACCCGTCCGTGTATCATGTCATATATGAGTAGTTGTAGTGACACGAAACCTAATTATTGCCTCCTGTGGGGGTACGTAAGTCCCAAAACATTCAAAGTAAATTTAAACATACCATTATTTGTTAAGCGTAGAATATGTGTTATTTTAACTTATGGCTAAATTGTCTAAACTTGCTGACGGCTGAAGGGATGGTGTAAATCCAGCTAGGGTCCATGCAGGAAGCAAAAGTCCCCATGGTCCCTAGTATGGTGATCTACCTTCAGTCGTTAGCGATCTACAGCCTGTTTTTAAATTGTATTGTTATTTATAGTTCCAATATTTTAGATTTAATTGCTAGTTTTAAATGGATATCTGTGATACACTAGTAGTTTTACTGTTCTTCGTCAACAGGTTTTTTAATTTCTAACTTTATTCATCTTTAATATAATTATAAAATGTTCTCGTCACGATATGGCTGAAATATTGCCCATGTGACGATAAATATTAACTCACTCACTCACTAATTATTGCCATTTTCATATCTGTACATATCATTTGGAATACTTCGGACAGCTTACTTTTTCAGTCCACATTTCAAACGTTAGAAATAAAATATTTCTATTAAATTTCGAGAGGCAGAAATAGTTAGGAAATTGTACGATTTCAAATGTTTTGCACACGCTTGAATCATATGAGATAGAACTGGCACCTACACGTTTGAAATAATTATTGAAATACAAGTCAATTCAGTGGGATGCGTGTAAATTGATTTCCTTTTATGACCATATTCAGGTATTTATGCTGTATGACAAAATGTGTAATATTTTGGAAATTTTGGAACATTTAACTGATTTCATCTTGGCAGGTGCTCGGTATCTCTGCGGAGTCTGTCAACAAACTCAGAGGTCGGTAACTGGGACAACAGGATGCTGAGCACACTTTCGAGGGATGTCGAAATGTTGGTGCACAACAGGAAGGTTTAGTGTAAGCTTATTTTAGCAGATGGAATGTTCGATTAATGATAGAGCGTACTTGGCACATTTATTGACTGATGCGATTTTTTTAATTACTAGCAATTTTTGTACAAGTGTTGGTTTTTAGGCACATAAATCTTTAACATTGCACTAAGGTTACCTTAGTGACTTGCCAATGTGGTATTCGCCCATGTTAACTATTTACTACCTTGTACAACCCGAAATCAATATAATTAATTTCTCCAAATGTTAACTTTCTTCTTTTTTTCTTCCTTTTAGCATATTTGTAACTTTGTCACAATCGACTACATTGATGAAGAACTATTACGACAGAAACTGTGTGGCTTAAATGCTGACACAAGAAGGTGCCTACAAGAAATTTTCATCCGAAACTGGGTTCCACAGGAGATATTGCTTGTGTGAGATATAGAGAATACTACACGAGGTCTCATTACATACGAATTATACGAAACGAGTGTCCTTCCTATGGTATCTGACAGAGCGAAAGTTTCGTATAATTCGTATGTAATGAGACCGAGTGTGGTATTTTATTTATTACCCACGTCTTACATGCATTAAATTGACAAACCGGTTTCATAAAGAGGTTGCGGAAGAGTTTTGTACTGTAGTACAATATTTGCATGACGTCACACTGTAATGACGTCACTGCCTTGGTAACCGACGTCACGATGCATGTCGGTTGTCATCGCCTCGTACAGCCTCCTACAGTAGCACTCCGTTTCTTGGTTTGCAGTTGCTTCATTCGGCTAACATCACTGGTGGAAACATTGCGTTTATGTTTTTCGACGGATATGATGTCTCAGTTCGACTAACAATTAAACAACGACACGGCAACGTTCGCAATGTTTACATTCCCACAATGCATTTAAGTTGTAGAATGAATGAATTCACGTGTTTGTTATGAATGAAAACATAGTTACGTCAGAATGTGACCTAATTGAGAGGTCATCGGTTATCCAATCAAATCGTTAGAATCTCAGGTCAAGTCGTTACGACACAGGTCAATGCGATACGACACACGTGTGACGTACGAGATTAGTATGCAACTACCCATACGTTGACCACGTGGGTAATAACATACGATATCTCCTAGGAGACAGTAGATTTTGAACAATGCCCTGGCAATGCTATGACGTCATGAACGTGATGACGTCACAGTGCTATGACATCGCTGCACTGCAAGTGTAATGGTAGTACCGTGTTCAGAGATGTTCATTTTTTATTGAAAACTAATGAAGAGTGATTTTTTTTTATGATAAATAGAATATCACCCATGTGTCTACTGATATCAATTATATCAACAATCGTTGATAGAGTTACAAATATTCTCGGCAAGCCTAGACACTATTTATATGAATAGAACCATTTTACCGTAATGTTCATATAACTATTCAGATGTCCATTTGCAATAGCTAATGTTGTGTACAAGACATTAACATAACACGCTACATATATTATCTACAAGACTAATCAAACACACACACGTCGGTTTACGTTGTAGGTGAGGTGAGGTGAGGTGAGGTGAAATTGGGTTTTACGTCGTGCTTGAGAATATTTCGCTCATATGACGACGTGCATGCATGTGTATGTGTATGTGCGGCTGCTTGCACTAGCCCAAACTTAAGCTGTTTTTATAGTGCTAGCCCACTGAGATACCATGCCGCAGTGAAGCATGAATACCCCACTCAGACACAGTATACTGACTCCGAGCCGACCAGTCCTTGTTGTACCCATTAATGCCGAGCGCCAGGCAGGGACCAATAAGTACCATATTTTAACGTCTTTTTGGTATGACGCGGTCGGGGATCGAACTCCGCGACCTTCCACTACTCCGGGCGCTGTAACCACTACACCACATTATTTTCTACTGAGATCAATTATATCAACAATCGTTGATAGAGTTACAAATATTCTCGGCAAGCCTAGACACTATTTATATGAATAGAACCATTTTACCGTAATGTTCATATAACTATTCAGATGTCCATTTGCAATAGCTAATGTTGTGTACAAGACATTAACATAACACGCTACATATATTATCTACAAGACTAATCAAACACACACACGTCGGTTTACGTTGTAAGTGAGGTGAGGTGAAATTGGGTTTTACGTCGTGCTTGAGAATATTTCGCTCATATGACGACGTGCATTCATGTGTATGTGTATGTGCGGCTGCTTGCACTAGCCCAAACTTAAGCTGTTTTTATAGTGCTAGCCCACTGAGATACCATGCCGCAGTGAAGCATGAATACCCCACTCAGACACATTATACTGACTCCGAGCCGACCAGTCCTTGTTGTACCCATTAATGCCGAGCGCCAGTCAGGGACCAACAAGTACCATATGTTAACGTCTTTTTGGTATGACGCGGTCGGGGATCGAACCCGCGACCTTCCGCTCTCCGGGCGGACGCTCTAACCACTACACCACAGAGGCGGTCCGATCCCGTTAGAGACTTTATTGTCTGTCTCACAGTCCCTGGCCACATTATTTTCCCTACTGCCTAGCCCTTTCTGCAATGCTAAAGCCCTAAGAGAAGCAAGTCTAGATTTCCTCTGGTTCAGGAATCTCTGGTCTCCCTTGGGCTCCTTTTCAATTTAAATGGGTTTATTTGTGATATATTCAGAGACTATTAGTCTAGTCACATTAAAACATGCGCAGATTGTTGAAACAGGGTTTTACCTTGACCAACAAACATTAGGATCCCAGGGACCCCCATTTTTTAGTTTTAAGGGACCTTGTAGGCAATGCGAGGGTCCTGTGAAGAAACAGTGTAGAGAACTGTATGTTTAGATAATGTTTACGCTTTAGACCTTCCGCACTCCGGGCGCTCTAACCACTACACCACGGAAGCGGTCGTTTACGTTGTAAATACTTTGTATTTTAGTTCATATTTTTATTCATATTCCATACACATCGTCTTTCTTTCTTAGAGCTTATGCGGGGCGGTGAGGTAGCCTAGTTGTTAAAGCGTTGGCTCGTCACGCCGAAGACCCGGGTTTGATTCCCCACTTGGGTACAATGTGTGAAGCCCATTTCTGGTGTACCCCGCCGTGATATTGCTGGAGTATTGCTAATGATGGAGCACTCACAGATAGTGATATCTGCAGACATTGGTGGAGCTGATATCTACAGACACTGATATCTGCAGACATTGATGGAACACACACGGACATTGATCTGTGCAGACATTGACAAAGCACTCACAGACACTGGCATTTGCAGACATTGATGAAACACTCACAGATAGTGATATCTGCAGACATTGATGGAGCTGATTTCTACAGACACTGGTATCTACAGACACTGGTATCTACAGACATTGATGGAAGACACACATACACTGATATCTGCAGACACTGATGGAGCACACACAGACACTGGTATCTACAGACACTGATATCTAGTTTCCGGTCAGGTGACTTCTAATCACATGTACCATATTGAAACGACAGAAATAGATAGGCTTGAGTAAAGAGCAGTCATAAAGATTTGGGTCCTCGAGGGCCACCCGGCGAAGCGGATCAGATGTCACGTGACCGGAAACTAGCGTGCATGTCAATATTACGTTAATGTGAATGATATAAATCATTTTTCAATATCATACAGTTATTTATAACATATACATATCAGAAATATTTTAGGCTCAAAACTTTTTGATAGCCTCTCGTACACCCGGTTAAAATACGCCGTGCGTGTCAAGAAGCGCGAACATTCATATTATGCCGAAAATAGACCAGGAAGCTATCCCCTTTCCAGGTCACAAACTACCCCGAATTCAACTGCGCGGACATGTCCGCCGGGTTTTCCTCAATCCAATCTGACGTTATGCTATATTTGTCGTGTTCAAACCGGGGGAACATGGGGAGACAGTTTCAAATAAGCGTTGTGGGTGTGCTTGTTATCATGAGTATAGTTCTGATTGTAACGATAGTCATGAATCTACAACTCCAGAATGCTTTAAATATCACTCAGGACGAATTCAGCCGAATTTTGAACTCAACTCAGCAGATCGAAGACCCGCGACCGAAATGGACGAAACTGAAAACAAAGCTAAACGAGTTGTCAAGGAAGGCAAGAAATAGTTTTGTACATAGATACATAGATTAGATAGCCTAGCCGTTAGGTGAATAGCGTTTTATGAAATTTAACATAACTTCATGTGACACGTGTAAAATTATGACCACCACTATTCAATACTATTAGTAGCCTTTTCATGATTTATACAACACATACATACATACATGCGTACGCACGCACGCACGCACGCACGCACACACGCACGCACGCACGCACATACATTTGTAAAGCGCTAGTATCCAGCGTTAGCTGCTCAAAAGCGCTAGTGTCTGACATGATTGAAAGGGTCACTGAAATACCATATTGAATATGTATTATGTATTATATATTTTTATATTTTATCTTTAAATAATAAAACAACATGACACCATTTTGTATCCAATAATTATAAAACAGTTCCATCCAAACAAACCAAACTAACTTCTTAAAATGCCAGGGGCGTTGCGGCAGCCTAGTGGCTAAAGCGTTGCCTTGTCACGATGAAGACCCGGGTTCGATTCCCCATCGAAGCCCATTTCTGGTGTCCCCCGCCGTCACTCACCCACTCTTAAAATACCATGAAAATGTCACTGCTGCACATAAGCAATGTTAAGTGTCGATTAAGTGTCGGGTTCATATCAAGTTTAATGTGCTGACATCATGGCGACGTGTGTATGTGTTTCTTGTGTGTCCGTGTTTGTGCTTTATATACATATTACACACACACGTGCGTGTGTGTACGTAGCATATATAGCATAGATATTTAGATGGAGAGAGAGCATGTGTGTTTGTGATGTGTGTGTGCGTGCGTGCGTACGTGTGTGCGATGTGCGTGCGTGTGTGTGCGATGTGCGTGTGTGTGTGATGTGCGTATGTGCGTGTGCCTGCCTGTAGGTGGCTTGGTGAGAGTTAGGTGTGTGTGCTAGTCATGTGTGTATATGTGTTATGTGTGTTGCTTGTGACGTGTCTATATATGAGTGTGTGTGTGTGTGTGTGTGTGTGTGTGTGTGTGTGTGTGTGTGTGTGTGTGTGTGTGTGTGTGTGTGTGTGTGTGTGTGTGTGTGTGTGTGTGTGTGTGTGTGCGTCTCACTCTCTGGGGGACAGTTTCGATAAATGAGACCAAATTTTAAAACAATTCCGATTTTATTCTAACCAGTTCATGTATCAAACCTTGAACGATATTTCCACACTGCTATTTATAATCTTCCCTTTTCTGTTTTTTTTAGAATGACATCCTCAACAGATCCATCAAAACCCTGGAACGTCAAGGTATTTTGAAAGACATCTACTTAAAGGCGAAGACCTGCGCTAGTATTGGGGGATGGGGTTATGTGATTTGTTTGTGATTGATGCGAAGTTGTTTTTGGTTTGAGTTCTCTGTTTCTATTCATTACAAAGTGCAACCATTGATTGCATAGGACGTCAACTTACCACATCACAGTACAATCACTCATTCCACGGTACAACCATTGAATACATAGAATAAGCTTTGTTTGCATAGGGCAACCATTGAATGCATCCGGCAACCATTGAGAACGTAGGGCAATCATTGATGACATAGGACAACCACTGATAACATAGGGCAATCATGGATTGCACAGGGCAACCATTGAGTGTACTGTTCAACCATTGATTACATAGGACAACCATTGTTTATATAGTGCAAACACTGATTTCAATAGGGCAAGCATTAAGTACATAGGATATACCTTGATTGCATAGTACAACCACTGGTTTCATAGGGAAACCATTTATTACTTATGGCAACCATGAATTTTACAGTGCAACTACTGATGCCATTGGGCAACCATTGCGTACGTAGGGCAACCGTGAATTAAACAGTACAACCACTGAGTACACAGGGCAACCATTTATCAAACAGTGCAATCACAAATTCTATAAGGCAACCACTGAGTACATAGGGCAACCATTTATCAAACAGTGCAATCACAAATTCTATAAGGCAACCACTGAGTACATAGGGCAACCATTTATCAAACAGTGCAATCACAAATTCTATAGGGCAACCACTGAGTACATAGGGCAACCATTTATCAAACAGTGCAATCACAAATTCTATAGGGCAACCACTGAGTACACAGGGCAACCATTAAGTATATAGTTGATGTTTAAAGTCAAATCGGCAGTTTTTCAGCCATATAGAGACTAAAACAAATATACATTAATAACACAGTGTAAACTAAAAACTGTCATGATGTGGTGTCATGAAATGACAGTAGAGTAACTAATGAGTGAGGGGGGTCAAATTTATCGTATATTTTCAGCCTTATCGTGACGAGAGAAAATTCTACAACAACTATACAAATGTACATAATCATGTAGTCAAAGTACAGTATAACAACTAAATTATCATATTTTATTTAAAAGCATGTAAAATAATAAACTGTCAATTAACATCACTATATAAAAATGGGCTTGAGGTCGCTAACCGCCAACATGAGGGACCGTGGGACTTACAATAAGTTTGCTTCAGTGCAAGCTTTGATTACATAGTACAGTTACTGATTCCACAGGGAAAAAGGACTATATCATTATAAAGGTCAATCATTGAGTCCCTTGTAGAACATATGTTGAGAGACCAGAAACCCTCCCACTCTGAGGGTAGCCTAATGGTTTAAACGTCCTCTCGTGACGCTGAAGACCCGGGTTCGATTCCCCACATGGGTACAGTGTGTAAAGCCCATTTCTGGTGTCCCCCGCCGTAAATATTGCTGGAAAATTGCTAAAAGCTGCGTAAAACCATACTCGCTCACTTATATGTACACAGATGTTTCTTTGTTTGCAGTTTAAGGCCGCATTCGGCAGTATTCCAGTTATACGAGGGGGTATAAAAAATGTACTTATCACCAAGACGTGTTCAGGGCAGAAACTTTATTTTGATTTCTTGTCCTTAAGACTTCTCTACATAATCACCATCCAGAGTGACAAATTTCTCCCAACATTTCTTGACTTGTGCAGACGCTTGAATACACCCCCCTGGTTTCATGGAGAACCAACCCTCCACCTCTTCAATGGCATCATTGGTGTCGTTAAAACGGAGTCCACATCTTGGCTCAACTGTGAGGGACATATGACCCCGGTTTATAAATGCCTTTTCCATCTCGGCGATTTGTAAACAATTGAGTTTGGTCCAGACAATCCAGTGACTAACGTCATGAGCATCGATCTACGGAGTTGGGATACGATGACATGTGTCAACCAAGTCAACGAGCCTGACAACCCGATCCTGTTAGTGGTCCCCTACGACAAGCAAGGGTTACTGAAGACCCCTTCCACCCTGGTTCTCGCGGGTCTTCAGAGATATCGGGTCGGACTAAAATCTGATTATGTCGAGATTATTACATGCGTGTGCTTCAGATACTATCTATTTCATGAGCTTGTATTTAACGAGCGAAAGCGAGTTTGATAAGTTTAGAAACAAAGAGTTGCAACATACAAGTTATTATGTATTTTCTGTAATCTGTTTCTTCGACATATATTCTGGTTATTCTCCTGATGAAGGTATAACTCATGGCACATTGAGACATAACAGAAAGGTCAGTTGTGATGTCATGCTGTCTGCTGCCTACGCATTTCTGTTGTTAGTCTCTCAGTCTCCTGGCGGTGGAGTAGCATGGTGGTTAAAGCGTTCGCTCGTCACGCCGAAGGCCCGGGTTCGATTCCCCACATGAGTACAATGTGTGAAGCTCATTTCTGGTGTCCTCAGCCATGATATTGCTGGAATATTCCTGAAAGCGGCGTAAAGCCATACTCACTCACTCACTCACAGTCTCCTGACGGTGGAGCAGCATCGTGGTTAAAGCTTTCGGTCGTCACGCGGAAGGCCCGGGTTCGATTTTCCACATGGGTGCAATGTATGAAGACCCTTTCTGGTGTCCCCCTCCGCGATATTGCTGGAATATTGCTTAAAGCCATACTCGCTCACTCACTCTCTGTCTCCACACAAACGTTTCCAACATGCGAGGTAATGAAAGCTAGATAACACCAAAGACCATTTTTAGAACTGTAATGCCGAAAGCTTTCGGCCGATGCACGACTAGCGTGTCACTACAATCAGGTGAGTATTCCTTCATTATCAGACCATAGGTCACCACACATAGTCGCCATTTAGGGACTTGGAATTCCATCTCACACGTGTTTGATGCCAGATACCTCACATGGGTTTATCGATCACCAACAGGTGTGTAAGAGATGAAATTCATGTCTGTTCCTAATCTTCCTGTTTGATTTCAGTGACAAAACAAAAAAACGAATTCCAGCCGGCCGCAGCTCACCTGTGGTTAGACTTGACAAAAACTCGGCGTGCAGGTATGTTGAAACCCATAGGTCTCGCAAGTACCAAAAGCTTTCGTCCATATCTCCGATGTTTATAGGAGGCATATACACATGCTTTCTGTGGGGATTCATTTGTTGGTGTTTATTAAATCGCCAAACACTGAGTTGCAGTGACAGAAGTGTACAAAATCCGTTCCAGATATATTCGGACACTTGACGTAATTTCCATAGACTTACATGTTATTTCAGTGTAGCATAAATAATTTTCATGAAGTGAGTCTAGGATGGATCTTTGTGAAATTTGACAGGCAAATTTGAAATTATCTCTGCTCCGCGGACATAATTTAAGTTCAGTTTTCCGACCACTATTTAACTAATGACATCACATTTATCAACTTACGTAATACTATGGTTCCACAATGCACAATCCCATAGGCCGCCGTGTTAAAGGAATTCACGGCACTATACATATATTGATTAAATTGTTGCCATTCGATAAATAAGCAACGGAAAATTAAACAGAAATTATGTGATTGTAGGTAAGATGATTCCTCACAAATGTGCAAAATTTGACTTGAATCTTAGGAACATTAAATTCATGAAAATGATTTATGTCACACTAAATTAACATGTAAGTCTATAGAAGTACGTCAAGTGTCCGAATATAACTGGCACGGGTCAATAGGTCGTCAGCGCTTGACTTCACTATCTCCGGCGATCTTATTGGCTGACGCATATCATAGAATGAATGGATTATTATGTGTTTCTTTAAAAAATATCTTTACTCGTATTTAAAATTATTCTTACCAAGATAAAACATCAGACAGTGACATCTTGAATGAAAGACGTTTGAATTTCACTCTAATTTTCGTACGTGCAGTTGTCATTTTATTAATCAATTTGATTGCCGGAAATGGTGATATAGAGATATCAGCTGAGATAAGATAATCCTTTAGGGGAATTAAACTGGGGGAGCAAACGGCATGTCAAAACAAAATACAAATAATATCCAGTCCTGTCGATCTTTGGGTGGTCATGCCACCTATATATTGTGAGCCATTTAGTAAGATGGCTGAATTTCTTTCTATGGGTATCATACTATTTTACATATCTCCACATAAACTTCATGAAAGAAAGACACGTAAGATGTTAATCAATAGATGAGACATGTGAAACATACATGAAAGAGCATTAAATATCTTTGAGATGACCCCTTGTACTTGTAGGCAGCACATGCATTTCATGCCAGGTGAGTCGACGTCATACCTGGCTGAGCGACCTAACTGCCATCTGTAGTCTGTTCTGTTGTTTTCAGCAGCTATTCGTTTTTTCTTCAAAGTTTTGCCCGATTTACGAGTCAACATGCTTTCCTGGATATCCTATTACGCATCCCACTGAACGCCCAGTTAGACCGATGTGAGTTATTTCGACTTATGCTATTTGCAATTGTGTAAATTTTAGGGATAATGATAATGTGTCCATTTATATAGCGCCAAACTCCACACTAGGTATGCTCATAGCGCTAACAGTCAAGGCCATTATTACCCCGGATAACCCAAGCTGCCTGTTAGGCGCTAGAAGGTTGTAGTCATATGACTTTTTTCCACCGGGTACCCATTTTCCTGCTGAGGACACCAGACACCTGAGGACACCAGAAATGGGCTTCACACATTGTACTCATGTGGGGAATCGAACCCGGGCCTTCGGCGTGACGAGCGAACGCTTTAACCACCATGCTACTCCACCGCCAGGAGACTGAGAGAGTAACAACAGAAATGCGAAGGCAGCAGACAGCATGACATCACAACTGACCTTTCTGACCCAACCTTCCTAGATATCCTATTAGGCATCCCACTCAACGCCCAGTTAGACCGATGTGGGTTATTTCGACATATGCTATTTGCAATTGTGTAAATCTTAGAGATACAGAGTAACAGCCTAAAAACAAGGGTTTTTTTCTATTTCCGGCGTACTTTAGGTTTGATTCTCGATATGGGTTTGTTGTAAAGATTTTAGCTTTTAAGCTTCTTGACTGGTATGTAACTGTCTGAAATAATTAATAAAGCTGAAGAAATAAATTGACAAAATCAGCAGTTTTCAGTTTAAACATATTTTATTCACAATGGGAAAGGATCGGGGACAAGTTCTTTCAACTTATTAAACCCCTCTCCAAAGATATTACAATGACTAATTACATCACAAGCAATTATTAGAAACAGACAGAGAAAGACTGAACGATAACAGCGGGAAATGTTACAATACAAAAGGTGTATAGAGAGAAGACTACTGGAATCGTTTAGATTTGCATATATACTGATGTACATTTTTTAATATTATTTCCTTTTTTCGATTTGTCATACCTGCAAAGCCGTTTAAAATAACAGATAACAGCAGTTATTATGTGCAACAAATTTTGCGAAAAGTGAGGCAAGTATCAATTGACATGTTTTATCCTTCCTTAAAGGAAGGGTAGCCTAGTGGTTAAAGGGTTCGCTCGTCACGCCTAAGACCTGGGTTCGATTCCTCATATGGGTACTAAGTTAAAAGTTATTGTACTAAAAGCATGGCATGAGATATTGTATTAAAAGTTGTTTAACAAACGATCATAGATTCAAATCGCAAGTATGGGCTTGTATTACAAGGGGGTAAGCGCAGTAGTTGGAACAGTGAAACATATAATAATAATAATGCTAATTTTTGCGCCTAGAATCCAACACGATGCTGCTCTCTGGCGTTACATTATTACCCTGACGGAATTGTACTTTCAAAGCTGCTACTAAGCGCTAAGCGCGACCGTATAGGTCCGTACATCCGCTTCTCAGGTACCCATTTGAACAGCTGGGTGGACTGAGTGCAATGTGGAGGAAGTGCCTTGCCCAAGTAGACAACAAAGCATGAGACCCAGGTCACAAATTTTGGTGTCTCCACCGGGATTCGAACCCGGGCCTTTGTTGTGAGAGGCCAGCATGCTAACCACTACACCACTGTGCTCCATGTGCGGTACATGATGAGCGTTAACTTAGACCAACCCTACGTGTTCTCGGTGTTTCATTTAATGTGCATACCCCTTTGTAATGCAAACCAATAATAGCGATTTGAAACTATGATCGTTTGTTAAACAACTTTTATCCTAGGTTGAATAAATTTCTGAGATTTAAATGTTCAGTTGGCAAGGTAAAATTATGAGGATTTGCAATTTTCATTTCACTTTATTTTATTTACTTTTTTGTTTGAAGTGTAATTCATCGGTACGTTTTCACTACAAACAGACCATAGCTAGGATTCGACCAAGGGAGAGAACTGCTTAACTTCCGCTGTGTGGCTTTCTTCAGACTATGGTCCATGCGGTCATAAGTGTCGCGAATCTTAATCCACAAACGCAATACAACAGATCAGTGTTTCAAAATCTGAGCATCGGGTATATTAATATAGACCACAGAGTCAGTTTATATTGAACAATAACTGCCATCTTTTTTGGTAGGATTCGACCAAGGGAGAGAACCACCTAACTTCCGGTGTGTGGCCTCCTCCAGACTACGGTCTATGCGGTCATAAGTATAGCAAATCTGACAGATCAGTGTTTCAAAATATCAGAATGGGGTATATTAACATATACCTTAGAGTAAGTTCATAGACCCGTGAAGATCCGGGGTAGAATAGGTCTTCAGCAACCCATGTGCTTGCCATAAAAAGGCGACTATCTTATCGTAAGAGGCGACTAACGGGATCGGGTGGTCAGTTTCGCTGACTTGGTTGACACATGTCATCGGTTCCCAATTGCGCAGATCGATGCTCATGCTGTTGATCACTGGATTGTCTGGTCCAGACTCGATTATTTACAGACCGCCGCCATATAGCTGGAATATTGCTGAGTGCGGCGTAAAACTAAACTCACTCACTCACTCACTCAGTAAGTTCATATTGAATGGATATATAAATATCTGGTTTATCCAACACCACTATTAACAGGTTTTATATAAACGCTTGTGGGAGTCAACTCAGATTGAAATACCATCAATAGGTTGCATCTTCATTAGATTTAGTTACATCGAAATAACCAGCATTTCATGTTTAATGCAATGTAATAATTATCGATTCTTCATTCACTACTTTGTTGGTTTGTTTGATCTTTAACGACATACTCAGCAATGTGAACTCGTCAGTACAAACTGACCCGCGAATCCACTCTGCCTCTTCATCCGAGGGACCCGTGAAGATCCAGGTTATAATTGTTCTTCAGTAACCCCTGCTTGTCGTAAGAGGCGACTAACGAGATCGGGTGGTCAGGCTCGCTGACTTGGTTGACACATGTCATCGTATCCCAGTTACGTAGATCGATGCTCATTCTGTTGATCATTGGATTGTCTGGTCCAGACGATATTAAAGACCACTACCATAAAGTTTGAATATTGCTGAGTGCGACGTTAAACAACAAACAATCAAATAAATCAAAATCTCCTTGCGGTCATGGCGACCAACATTCATATCCGAAAGTTACGGTTGTGAGGGTTTGTGGTAGATTTGTAGTGGAAGAGCCCTAACTTCAACATATTCAACAAGTCCATATTTTCACCATTAGTGTTCTCCATTATAAATCTTTTCTCTTATTTCGTGAATACATTATGTATTTCAGATGGTACCCTCTTGTGGCGAAGCACTCGAGAGCAAAATAATGATCATTTCGTGAACGGTGGCATCAGCAGCGGGAATGATGGAGTCATCAGCGTCACAGACTCAGGCGTCTATCTCTTCCATGGTCACATTTGTTTTGATACGTTCCTCAACGGCTTAGAAAAGAAATCCGAATTGATTAGAATATTCATCGTCATAAATCGTCGAATCTCTGGTCCAATGCCGTTCTCGAAAGATATCATCGATTTGGTGAAGGTGAAAAGATATTCGTACCTGTCGACGTGTTTCGTTGGCTCACGTAAACTGGCAGCGGGGGATGAGTTCTTCTTCATGTTTGAAAGTCGTGTTTCTACGCAATACATTGCATACGGAAATTCATCCACATGCAATTCGTTGACAATCGTCAGAGTTTTTTGACGTAACTCACTAGTATGGGAATCGAGGAATGAAACTCACTCACTGGTGGAGTTTGGGATGGAAACTGGATATATCTGTCAGCTACAGCTATGAAAAATAGATATATTTCTAATGAACCCTTATCGTGTTTTCAAAGCAGCGCCAAGTTTTGGATTTTTTTTAATTTCATATTTTCATGACATACAAAGGATATGGTGCCTGACTAATGCCATCGGAAGAGGTACAGATCTTTTTCAGAGGTACAGAGTCCACTTCCGGGTTTGTGCTTCTGATGTACTGAGCCTCAGATCTGATCTAAAGACGTTATTATAATCAGTTTTCAACTCAATCCCTCTCCACAGGGATACACATTTGCAACTGATGTTGGAGGGATTCTATCCAAGTGTCTCATTTTATTCAAAATCCGTTTCTGTGTTCGGAATCAGATAGAAGTCTGACTGAACCCGACCAGGAGAATATAGTGGGTGCTGATGGAGTCCAGAGCCACACTCGCGGATTGCAGTTGTGGCGATGATTGGTCCGTGCACTGACACATTGTCCTGATGGAGTGAGTGAGTATTGTTTTACGCCGCTTTTAGCAGTATTCCAGCAATATCACGGCGAGGGACACCAGAAATGGGCTTCACATATTGTACCCAAGTGGGGAATTGAACCAGGGAGAATAGAAGACGTGCTGTAGATCATCCCTGACTGAACCCAGCCTTGACATGATGAGCGAACACTTTGACTACAAGGCCATCCCACTAAAACACAAGTACGGATTTGACATTCCAGTGATTGATAATGTGATTGAGCATCCATGCAGTTGGGATATGTTGAAGGTTATCCTGAACCTGCTGTTCAGATCCTTTATGTCAGATCTCATGATCAGCCAAGTAAACTAATCTATATCTGGAATCCCAAGGATCAAAAGAAACAAGGACTGACTCTCATGGGGTAGTGTTTGTTTGCTGTTTAACTCACTCAGCAATATTTCAGTCATATGACGGTGATCTGTAAAGTCTTAACAATCCAGTAATAGACATGAACATCGATCACCGTTTTCTTGTTAAGTAACCACCTCTTACTGCATGGGCTGCTGATGACCCAGATCTTCACCACTTGAGAGATTTTAAAATTTATTCATCACATGTTAGCTTTTAAGCCTCTTGGCCGGTATGTAACTGTATGTAAAATAGTGAGTGAGTGAGTTAATATTTAACGTCGTATGTAAAATAAATAATACAGCTCCTGAAATAAACTGACAGACAACATCCGCAGTTCTTATGAGCAACGAAATCTGGTCGGTCGGTTTGTTCTTTAACGCAGCATTCAGCAATATTCCAACTATATGGCATCGGTCTGCGAATGATCGAGTCTGGAACAGACAATCCAGTGATCAACAATATGAGGATCGATCTACGCAATTGGGATACGATGACATGTGTCTATCAAGGTAGCGAATCTGACCACCCGATCCCGTTAGTCGCCTTTTCATGAGTTGTTGCAGATCAATTCTAACCCGGATCTTTACAGGTTGCAACAAATTCTGAAAAAGGTGAGGTGCCTCCGTTTCGGTTGATTCTTCTTCTTCATCTTCACTGGCTTGTATTGATACGGTCTAAGATCCATTTAAAAAATGACACGGGGAACATAATTTATTGCTTTAGAATCAATGGTCACTGTCAACTTTTGAGGTAAAATCAATAAGGAAGTCATCGGCAACAAGAACATATGACGTCATGTCACGTGATCCCCCCCCCATATCTCTGCTCGTGAACTGTCGGTTGTTTCCGTAATAGGCGGAAATACGAGTAAGTTTCGTTTATTTTCTTACTGATATTTTACAGAGTTTGTGTTCAATTTTAATCACGGAATGCCTTCACCCCTATGATGTCTTTTTGTTTTCTTTAGTATTATCGTGTGACATTTTTCACTCATGTAACATAATTATATTTTCATGTGGTTTTTAATCATTGTGTGATACCTGTACATGTTCTACCTGTCTAAAGACATATATTCTAATCTCATACATACACATTGTTTCCACATTTACTTATTTATTATGTGAGCCTGCAGCTGTATGTGTGATGGTTATTGTCCTCATTTCATTTGTAATACCCTGTGTTATTTGCTGACGGTTGCTGTGTACATCAGACCTAATATGTTGCAAATAAAATTTTCACAGTATAATAAAGCAGTACCTCATATGTTCACCTTGTTTACTGCGTGTTGAAGGAAGAGTAATTCTAAAGTTACAACTCATTGCCATTGTGAAGAAATAAAGGTAGATTACTGGTTCTGTAAACTCTGGCATCGATGAACTGAATTCACCTTTCAAAAAAAGGAAGAAATCCACAACAAATCCACTGTAAACTTACAAAGAAATAACAAATGTTCCCAAAGTCTTTATTCATTGGTTGCATCTTGTATCAATGACACCATCTTCCATACAACAAGTGACACATGTATGTTTTTCACAAACAATGATCTGGCCATCAACAAAACAAAATATAGTTTCATAAACAAAGAGTAAAAAGTGCCAAGGAAGCAAATGATGTATATATTAACTGTGTTTATTATTCTTGCAAATGTCCTTTGACTTTACGAAAATTAGAGAAAAATTGAATTTTTTTTTTTGAAACTCCTTATCTTGGTCTCCAAAAACAATTGCAACATTTCATGATTAAAGTACAGTTAGAATTTGTCTGCTAGTCCATAACAGCATGACTGTAAGAGTGACAGGGATGGCAGCAAGAAAATCTATTTTGAGCCCGAAACTGAATATTGTTTCAATGAATAGGGGGCTCAGGGATTTAGATTATTCACAGAATTGATCAATTTGAAATAAGATCAGCAGAAATCTGTGGATGGGCGGAAAATTGCCATCCCTGGAGTGAGTTTGGCTTAAAGCCCCTTGAATAGTATTCCAGTTACTTCAAGGTATGTCAGGGAGGTAAGTGATGCCAGTCTGAGATATTCATCGCTTTGGGATAATGTGGACAAACCCAGAAATATAATCCAGGTGAAACAGGATTCCAACCCATGATAACAGGTTCCTGATATGCCCAAGGGATGCAACTCTACACATGAATTGCAGCACTTTGGACAAGCGGATCACCAGCGCTTCCCAGGTACAGACAGGGGTATGGATAGTCAGATGTTGAAAATCTAGGAGTGGATAGTCTATCCCCAAATCCAGTTATGTACAAAGACCTCTGGTCAAGAATGAACTGGATGCAACCCATGGTGTCTACCCCAGCATATAACCTCATAACAAAGAGCTAGTACAACACACAGTGCAGGGTGCAGGGTTCTAATCCACAAACTTTTTGTGGATCGGGACCCAGGTTGTTATAACAGAAACACTCGAAAACAGACACAATACATGGGAGACATAAGCTGACATGACTTGAGAGAAGCTGTGGAGATGCTCGAGTCAGTCAAATTACTGGGTATCTTTATCCCCTGAAAACCTTTCGCCATCATATAGAGGCAGTGCTCTTCATTCCGTGAGTGAGTAGGATATGATACAGTCCATTATATTGAAGTTCTATCACAAAATACCTGAGACAATCAAGCTTGGACCCCGGAGTGGTGGGTAGTATGAGAAGTGACCTTGCACGGTCAGTTTTATGAGAGATCAACATCCTCAGCAAACAATGACCTTGAACTGTGTATCATCCATTTCGGTCATCTGATTTTTAGTTTAGTTTGGCAGTAAAATGACGGACTTTGTTGTGGAACTTGAATCTAATGCCACTTCGAACAATGTTTCAGAACATGTGAACCAGGATATTAACCTACAGTTACAGGTTTCTGATACCATATGGGATCATGCGCTGCACTCAGCAATATTGCAGCTATATGGCGGTGATCTGTAAATATCAGGACCACACAATCCAGTGATTAACAGCATGGACATCGATTTGGGATACGATGACATGTTCAACTTAGTAAGCCTGACCAAATGATTCAATTAGTCGCCTCTTACGACAAGCATGGGTTCCTTGTTGAAAGTACATGTGTCCTACACCTGGAACTCAATACTGATAGAGGGAGGCATTGAAATATGTTTAACATGTTATTATAGTCCGCTTATATCATTGCGTGTCATTTCAATGTCCAATAAGAATATACAGTCAAATCCCGATGAGTCGAATCGCTGGGGACCAAGTAATAAATTCAACTTATCGATGTATTCGAGACATAGGTATGTCTATGGGGGTAGAAAAAAAGATGATTCAGTCCTAATTCTTCCGCCTAAGCATTTGTATATCTAATGATTTCCATATCACTAATAGGGGGCACCTTTCAGTTCCAGTCTGATTAGCACAGACAGTGATTTCCGTAAAATCACTAATCTGCCATTTGAACCCACCCGTCAATGGCGGAAAGGTGTGAGCCGCGCTGGTTTGTTACTTGGATCAGTTTGCTACACCAATCAACTTCTCATTGACTGACTTCGGCTTATGTATACAAGATTGCGGTTGTTTGAATCTCATGGGACCAAATTTCCTTCTCGAGTCATCGTGTGTATTTATGAGTCGAATTTGTGTAACCGGAAATCAAATGATGACAACTAGAACAGGGAATGGTCGGGACCGACAGGTACTTCGAGTTATGCATAATATTCGCGAGACACCGGCATTCGACTCATCGGGATTTGACTGTAAATCATATTTTAGTGTGATACAAATTTGTTCAATATTTTCGTATCATTACATCAACAAACACCAATCTACACATATCATCCTTTTACATTATCAATCACACATGCACACACACACATAAAGATCTGAATTTATACATATATGTAAAATAGCACTTTATGCGTTTCAGCTAAGCTACCAACATATGCACATAGATCACGTCTGCCTATCACGTAACACATCACACATCTGTATCCTCACAACGGCATGTTGGCATGTTTCTTCCATGGGTTTTCCATCTTCTTGCTGGATAACACTTCCAAGTCCTGGCAGATCCGCTGTCTCGTTGTCCTGGGCTCAATGATGTCGTCGACATACCCTGAAACATGCACAGAACATTCAACCATTCTTGAGGAGTCAGTGAGTTTAGTTTTACACCACTTTTAGCAATATTCCAACAATATCATGGCAAATGACACTACAAATGAGCTTCACACATTGTACCGATGTGGGAATAAAGCCGGGTCTTCTGTGTGACGAGCGAACGCTTTACAAATAGTCTACACCACCACCACCCCATACTTGAGACCTACTGGTGCTTTTCCACATACACATCTTGCTATCTCATCGTAAACTTCGGAATGGTACTACTTCCAACTGAGATGTGATGAGAGGTTTTACATTTAAATAGTTAGACATGCTTGGAAGTTTGACATTTGAACTGTACTACTGGCTGAGAGATGTTACATTTGAATTGTCAGACTGGCTTAGACTTTCTTGAAATAGTGAAAATGGTCTCGTTTTCATCCAACCTTTGGATTTGTATCTCAGACAATGTAAACCCTGACCCAATCTTGCCCATAAGTGGCAATAATAATTTCTCATTATTGTCAGAATTGGAGTGAGTGAGTGAAATTACATTTGCAGTGATTTCAGCCACATTGTGATAGCAGAATTAAAAGAAGATGAAGTAAATAGGAGTACTGACACTTTCTTTGTGATAAACACAGTGAGTGAGTGAGTGAGTATGGTTTTACATCGCTTTCGGCAATATTCCAGCAATATCACGACGGGACACCAGAAATGGGCATCACACACTGTATCCTTGGGGGGGGAATCGAGCCTGGGTCTTCAGGGTGATGAGCAGACGCTTTAACCACTAGGCTATCGCATGGCCCATCAGGGAACTCTGTGCTGCACCTGTGGAAGAGTTTTAGTTACCTCTGTCTGCAGCTGGGAATGGGTTGGCAAACTTGTCAATGTACTCCTTCTCCTGCTCGGCCTGGGTGTCGCTGCCTCGGGAAGATGATGGACACAGCACCCTGGTGGGGAATACAGACATCATAACTACGGAAATATCACTTCTATCTACCACCTAGTCCATACTAATTCTTAATCTCTAAAATTGTATAGTTTTGCTAAGGATCAAATCCTGGATTCAACAGAAAACTATCATGTGGGGTCAAATTTGGTTTAAACATCAAAGCTTATTGTAAGAATGGATCCTAGGTTTCAGTATGTCACTGCATCTTGTGGATCTCATACCTGCTATTGACAGGTGTTGTGTACTTGTCAATGACCCGTGCCATGATTTGCAAAATGGTTGATTGGTGCCATGAAAACCATTTTTATTGTTACTTATGTATCAAGTGCATAAGGTTAGATTACAGTGGCTGTTTGCCTAAGAGGTGTTACAATATTATTATTTATCCATTCTTAAATGGATACAATTTCAAATCATAACTCTACGTTTGAGTACAGCGTATATACAGCAATCTATGGCTATAACAAACTCAAGGGACTACTGATGTTGGTTCATTATAACCACAGTTTACACGCACTTCAACTAAAATAAACAGCAATTGGCAGGGAGCCCAAAACAGTTCTACACATCCATCAGTTCATTGTTTAATACTGAATTAATATTTAAGGAGCAGAAAGGCAGTTCAAGTGTAGTGTTGGCTTTTCATATATAAACCTGAAGGGCGCTTCTAACTATATATTAGACATGGCTTCTTTTCCCGGAATTACAGAAGCTATTACGAGGTTTTACTTTTGTTTGACCTCTTCCCAGGTTTTACTTTTTGTAAAAAGACCTATTTCCGGTTTTACTTTTTGTAAGTAAGACCTCTTCCCAGGTTTTACTTTTTCCTAACTCTATATTAACATCAACATTCAAATTCAGATGATATGTGAGTGTTTGAAATCAATTGAAAAATATCGTCAAAGATCAACTTTAAAGTGCAAATATTTTCGCTAGCAGGAATGGAACCGCATGTATCAGCTTATTAAGCGGCAGTCTAACTCACGGCCACCGGCCGACAAAGAAGCCAGGGTTGAATTATCTATATATAGTTAGTCCTACTGTCATTAAAATGATTTTACCAGCGTTTCAGTTACTGTTATGTACCTTCATTACATGATTATCTAATTATCCATCATGGACGGTTTACATGTATAATAAAGCACTCCTCCTCGGTTATGGTTGGGAAAGTAAGCCCTCGACCATCAGGTGGAGAGAAGTAAGACCTTGAGCGCTACGCGTTCTCGGTCTTACTTCTCCCCACCCTCCAGTCTCGGGTCTTACTTTCCCAACCATAACCTCAGATTCGTGTTTTATCCTACACATAAAGCATATATATACTAACATAATCTACATCAATGAGTAATTCTTACACACATTGTTGGTGCAGTAGATCATGTAGTACTTCTTTGTCATAAAAAGAAGTCCAGAGGATACGCAACAGAATCAAGCAAACTAAACCCTCAGGAGAGAGAATTCACTGCTGGTCATGATTCTCTGACAACGAACAGTGCTTCACCTTTACAGGAAGGGAAACGGAATCATCAAGATGTTACTTCTTAATAGGTAACAATTCATTCATGACAACAATACTTCACCCTTAACTTACGGAAACCAGAATAACAGCAACCTCAGCAATTTTACCTTTACATTAAGGGGGAACGGAATCAGGGCTCCAGATAATTTTTCAACATCAGGAGTATGTACTCCTTATTTCTTTCAGTATATGAGTACTGGAAAACAATAAGAGTACATTTAGATTACTAAATGAAAATTAATGGAGTATCAGTAATCTTGTGTTTCATTTCATATATGCACCACAGCATTGCTACTCTTGTGTAAACAGGTCAATGAACAATAAAACAATACTTTTTTCCGATAAATACGCCTGTAAATGATTCTAAGACCGTACGCCATTTCTGTGGTGCGTATCTGCTACGTTTTCCAAAATATTTCCTACCGTATCTTGATTTTCTATCCGTACATACGCCGATACGGCTCTTATCTGGAGCCCTGCAGAATCATCAAAAAATTACCCGCAGGAGGGACAATTCCTTGTACATCATGATTCTCTCACAACAAACAGTACTTCACCTTGGCTCCCATGACAGCAACCTCTGCAGTCGGCCAGCAATAGTTGGTGTCGCCACGGAGATGTTTTGAGCTCATCACATCGTAGGCACCGCCATATGCCTGCAACAGCATCGCTCGGGTTAGGAAAGTTTCATTCTCTAGGACACTGTTTTTCATAAAACAATAATTTTCTTTCTAATCTGATGAGTAGGCGAGTTTGGTTTTATGCCTCCATGAACAGAATGTCAGTTATCATGGCGAGTCAGCTGATGTGTAGAGCCCCTAGTGAAGCAGGTGTCAGATGTCTACGTCATCGGTGAAACCCACAAATACGTGTGTTGCCGAGAAATATGGAAACATTATTATGGTTCACCAGCATTTGAACACATGATCATCTGATTTATTGTCATTTTCTCTGTAAAACACCAAATATTACCAGCTTGACTGAGCATGTGACTAAGATGGGTGTTGCACCACTTTGAACAGTGTTTTAGTTGCATGACAGTACATCGGTTCAATCGGTAAAGAGTGAATGAGTGAGTTAAGTTTCACTCAGTTGGAACAGCATTCCGGTCATATCAGGATTTGTCAGCTTGGGAGGTGGGAGTGAGGCAGTTCCCAAATATTTACCTTTCTGGAGTAACCAACGAGAAAGGGTACAAAGCTGACAATTCCAGAATCACAATCGGGGCAAACTGGGATTCGAACCCACAACAATAAGTTTCTGGGAGGACCAAGGGACACAACTCTCCACAGTGAGTGTGAGTGAGTGAGTATAGTTTTACGCCACACTCAGCAATATTCCAGCAATATGGCGGCGGTCTGTAAATAATCAATCTACACAATTCAGATAAGATGACATGTGTCAACCAAGTCAGTTAGCCTACCTAGCCGATCCTGTTAGTCACCTCTTATGATAAGCATGGATGGCTGAATATCAATTCTAACCTGGATCTTCACGGGTCCAACTCTCCACACTTTAAAGCAATATCTTGGACAACATGGCCACCCATGCCTGTGAGAGTGAGTATTTGATGATTCAATACAGAATCCCTACCTTTCTGGTAATAACTGTGATCTTGGGCACTGTAGCTTCTGCGAATGCATACAACAGCTTCGCTCCGTGACGGATAATTCCTCCATACTCTTGACTCGTACCTGTAGGGGAAACAAATGAATTCAGAATTTGGAACTTGCCCTCTTTGTTTATTATTAAGATTAGTTGGTCTGAAAGCTTCGCTCATGCCGAGAGCTTATATACCTTCCCATTGATTAGCGAAATCATGACCTATAGTGAGTAAGTGAGTTTAGTTTACCGCCATGTTTAGCAATATTCCAGCAATAACACGGCAGGGGACACCAGAAATGGGCTTCACACAATCTACTCATGTGGGGAATCAAACCGGGGACTTTGGCACGATAAGCGAACGCTTTAACCACCAGGCTACCCCACGGACCCCATGACCTTTGGGTCTTTATGCAAGGAGGTATTGTATCTTATTTGAATGAGATTAAGAATAATTGAAAAATTGATATTACTGAGCATTGTTTTCAGGTTGTTCATTCCCAAGTGAGCATTAACATTCTATCATATCTGGATTATTTTGTCCAGTTGGGCACTAAAGCATCTATCTTGACAACATTAAAATAAAATGTGGCCAAATTGTTCAGCGTTTCAGCAGTGTGGATGTGACCCTGCAGTCACCTAAAATGGGGCCAAGCCGTAGAAGCAACATTGCAAACTCCCGCCAGCCCGACCGTCCAGGACGGTCTGTTTTGCGACCTGGACGGTCAGTTTTAAAAAGTTGCACGCCCGATGGTCTGTCTGTTACATCAGTATAAATTAGTAATATATATAATGACTAAAGCCTTGACTGAAAAAAACATTTGAAACTTGTTTTATTGTTGCAATAACCTGATATTAAACAGTTCATTCCTCTTATTAACCTTCTTTTTATTTTTCTTAATCCAGAAAATTCTGGACTGGCAACTTTGCAACGGGTCTGGTAACTTTTGAGAGTTACCAGACCAGTTGTCTGGCTGAAATTGTGGGGAGTTTACAACACTGGTAGAAGTGGTGGTGGAAGTAGTAGTAATGGGTTCCGGAAGGATAAGATGTTTATGTGACTGTCAACCTCACAGGCAGCTTAAGTGAGTGAGTAAGATTGGTTTTACGCCGCTTTTAGCAATATTCCAGCAATATCATGGTGGGGGATGCAAGAAATGGGCTCATTGTACCCATGTAGGGAATAGAACCCGGGTCTTCGGAGTGACGACCGACTACTTTGTGTAGTAGTAATAGTAATAGTCATTGTATCACAGTGGCATACACCGATGCTCATGCTGTTGATCACTGGATTTTCTGGTTCATCCCCATATAGCTAGTAGTATTAGTAGTAGTAGTAGTTCACAAATTTTAGTTTCTGATAACCATATTTTTTACTTGTATTTCTACCAAAAAATAAAGCAAGTCGACATAACCAAAATAGAGGGTGTGTGATATCTGTAATATCTGTTATAAGTGTGTTCATTATAAATGTAGATTACAGCAGTAGTAAGGAATTAGCATGAACTGGGGCAAAAGGAACTGCTATTTGTGCCAACAAAGAATATGAAGAATATGCAGAGTGGCCTCCCTTGAATGCTATTACCTCCCCTTAACTATCACAATCTCAAAACATCTGACATGGTGATGCAGTCAACAAATTCATGTGGCTTGGCAACAGTGCATTGAAAGAACTCTAGACTGTAATGCATTGTCATTAGCATTAAGCATCCTCAGCCATAATCCTACCTGGCAAGAATCCTGGGACATCGACGAAGGTGATGATCGGGATGTTGAATGCATCACAGAATCTCACAAACCTGGCCCCCTTCACCGAGGCATTGATGTCCAGACAGCCTGGTGGAATAATGAACAGAAAGGTTTGAATGAGATCCTCAGCTTTGCATTCACTACACTGGAACTCTCTTCTGTGTCGCTTGCTTCATTAGTGTGGCTAAGAGACAAAAACCTTAACAACACAGAGCATTTTGGGACATTGTGATGTTCAATTCCTTCACCAGTCTGAATGAGGCAACACGAAATCAAAACCTGAGTGCAACCTATTATTGCAGTTCCAACCTTGACAACACAAACACTGAAAGGGAAGAAAAAGGTTTCTGTCAACTTGGAGTCCTCCCCAGGTGAAATACAATCATGAAATATTTTTGATGATTAATTAACGAAGACAGCTGTGCTCATATTTACAGTGACAAAAGTCATTCCACATTAAGGAATATGTACAGTAATGGAGCAAATTGCAAAGAACACTGAGGAGATCTTCCAAGAAGAATCTTTCTGATCAGGTAATCAGCATTGAGGCTTGTAATACCTTGGTATGACTGAGGGAAGCATTCCTACAATCATGTCATATTTCTTGAAACGATCAAAGACAACAAATTCTGACTGACTGACTGGCTGAGTTTGGTTTTACGCCGCTTTTAGCAATATTCCAGCAACATCACGGTGGGGGACACCAGAAATGGTCTTCGCACATTGTCCCCATGTGGGGATTCGAACCTGGGTTTTCGGCGTGACGAGCCAACGCTTTAACCACTAGGCTACCCCGCCGCCTCTACAACAAATTCTGAAAGTAGATAGGTAAGTAAACCTGATCCAATACATTGTTGTCTCTCAGAACTATGGTTTCTACAACCAGCAGGACTGTCATCGAGGGAACATTTGTATTCTGTATGGGTTTTCATTTGTGTAAAACCTTTTGAATCAAGAAATCAGATCTCTTTGAAATGAAGCAAAATTATTTTTGAAAGCTGAATTCTGATTGGATCAGCAGCCCATTTAGTTAAGTTCAGGGTTCAGCTAACATCTCACTTGACCTCGTCAGATGTCCAAACATCATCCCACACAGTATCCTATCAAAGGTACAGATTTAATGGAGGCTGGAGGACTTACCAGCTGCTACTTTAGGTTGATTACCAACCAGTCCCACAGTCCGACCGTTCATTCTGGCGAACCCAATCACTATGTTCTTGGCATAGTTGGTCATTATCTCAAAGAAGTCCTGTTCGTCCACCACCTGTCAACACAGACATTGAGTGCGTCACATGAAAGTCAGCAACACTCCAGCTGTAGCAGCAGCTTCATGATCAAATCAGAGTGAGTGAGTGAGTTTTACGTCGCACTCAGCAATATTCCAGCTATATGGCGGGAGTCTGTAAGTAATCGTGTCTGGACCAGACAAGTCAGTGATCAACAGCATGAGCATCGATCTGCGCAATTGGGAACCGATGACATGTGTCAGCCAAGTCAGCGAGCCTGACCACCTGATCCTGTTAGTCGCCTCTTACGACAAGCATGGGTTACTGAAAGTATATTCTAAACTGAAGATCAATATTCTAACCCGGACCTTCACGGGTCTGATCAAATCAGAACTGTTTTTGGACGCATTTAGAAGTGATGCACATAAAGACACGAATTTATGGATATCAGCCTGTTTATTTTGAGGAACATGATGTTTCAGATTATATTCTTACTCCTTCATCATATTCACCTGATGGAGCAAGAATATACTGCAAAACATCATGTTCCTCAAAATACAGAAGTTGGCATCCATAAATTCTTGCCTTTAAATCAGAACAGATGCTGAGTGACCAAATGAACATTCTTGCAATTAATCACTAGCTTCAGTCCTTCCCACTGCACCATTAAAGCAGTCCAGTGAAGATCCTGGGTTAAAGTTGGTCTTCAGTAACCCATGCTTGTCGTTAGAGGCAACTAACGGGATCGGGTGGTCAGGCTCGCTGACTTGGTTGATACATGTCATTGTATACAATTGCGTAGATCGAAGCTCTTGCCGTTGATCACTGGATTGTGTTGTCCAGACTCGATTATTTACAGACCACTGCCATATAGCTGGAATATTGCTGAGTGCAGTGTTAAACAACCAACCAACCAATCGTACAAACACGCTTACCCCTTGTATGACATCCTTGATGTCGTAGCGGCTGTGGATTCAAGGGGGACAACTGTGTCAAGACCAGGAACCAGTCTGTCCCTGAAAAAAGAAATTCTCAATAATAATGGACAGGATTTTTCCTTTCAACAGATGAACTCGAGATGTGTCAATAAGCTATGAGCTAAAACTGCAGATTTGAAACATTGTGGGAACTATGGACTAGAATTAATTTGCCTCCAAAATACATAATTTACATAATAAAAACCATATTGACACTAACTCCTTTCAGTGGCAGTTTAAAACTTTGGAAGTACAATACTGACAAATTTTTGGATAACTAGTTTAAATTTTTTGTGTGGATGACATTTCCCTACAGATTCTTGGACCATTGTCAAGCATGAATGTAATATGGAGAAGAAAAGATGTATATAAACCGAGTGTAACAAAGAAAACAACATTATAACATATTTGGCTGACTGTAAATTGAACATCAAACCAAGGATATTTTATTCAACAGCTTATAATGAACTCCTCAACCAAGCCCAATAAATTGTGTAAACATCTCTTCCTTTCTAAACTACCAGCAGGCTTTTGATTTGTACATCTCGGGCTTCCACTGCTTATCTCTTTGTTATTTCACTGGAATTTAATCAAGTTACTGCCTAGCCAGTTATGTTAATTATGTTGTTTTCTTTGTCACACACAGTATATATGCGTCCCTTCCTCCTCACATTACATTCCTGTTTGACGGAACTCCGTGGTGTAGTGGGTCCGCCCGAGGCGGAAGGTCGCGGAGTTCGATCTGACAGCGTCATACCAAAACATCACAACAAGGACCCACATGCTTCACCGCGGCATATATCTCAGTGACAATAAAATGAAATTGTCAGTATCACGTTGACACTAGGCAATGTTTTTTAACAAATACTAATTACATATGATTTCCTGTTTGACAAGTACAATAACAAAACATACAATAAAATAAAACAGTATCCGCGTTGACACTAGGCAATTATTTTTTAACAAATATAAGATGAGGCTAGATAACAATTAAAATATATACACATATGAGAAGGGGCTAGAACGAGATGAGCTAACAAATCAAGATCAATCAGTAGTTTCACAAAAAGTATTATTTTTAAAAATCAAGTTTATTTTATTGTTTGAGGTTAGTGACACATTTACTATTTTTATCAAAATGAGAAACAGACTGCTCCACTACCCAAGATTTGATGTATAAAACCACTGACCAAGGGTCATCACACTGTCTGATAGGGGCATCGTCCTTGTTGCTGAGGGGGAGATAGTTGTAGAAGTCCCGTAGCTGCAGGAGGGCATCAACATCGTTCTCAAACGCCTTGTGGGCAACACCTGGAGTTGAAAAAGACAATCAGGACTGGCAAATAAGGACTGACAATAAGGACTGGCGATAAGGACCAACAAATGAAGAGCCTACACTGTATCTGTGATAACAACCAGTTTGATTTGGACAAGTCTGTGCAGCATCTGTCATAATGACCTCTCTGATTTGGGCAGGGCTTTTGAAGCATTTATGATACACAACCAGTGAATGCAACCAAAATTGGAAAACCAGTATATGCAGTATCTGTGATATCACCTTGCCAAGATGGGCAAGTCCATGCAGTATCTGTGATATCAACCTTGCCAAGATGGGCAAGTCCATGCAGTATCTGTGATATCAACCTTGCCAAGATGGGCAAGTCTATGCAGTATGTGTGATATCAACCTTGCCAAGATGGGCAAGACTATGCAGTATCTGTGATAGCAACCTTGCCAAGATGGGCAAGAATCTATGCAGTATACAGTATCTGTGATATCAACCTTGCCAAGATGGGCAAGACTATGCAGTATCTGTGATATCAACCTTGCCAAGATGGGCATTAAGTCTATGCAGTATGTGTGATATCAACCTTGCCAAGATGGGCAAGACTATGCAGTATCTGTGATATCAACCTTGCCAAGATGGGCAAGTGTATTCAGTATCTGTGATATCAACCTTGCCAAGATGGGCAAGTCTATGCAGTATCTGTGATAGCAACCTTGCCAAGATGGGCATTAAGTCTATGCAGTATCTGTGATAGCAACCTTGCCAAGATGGGCAAGTCTATGCAGTATCTGTGATATCAACCTTGCCAAGATGGGCAAGACTATGCAGTATCTGTGATAGCAACCTTGCCAAGATGGGCAAGTGTATTCAGTATCTGTGATATCAACCTTGCCAAGACAGGCAAGTCTATGCAGTATCTGTGATAGCAACCTTGCCAAGATGGGCATTAAGTCTATGCAGTATCTGTGATAGCAACCTTGCCAAGATGGGCAAGTCTATGCAGTATCTGTGATAGCAACCTTGCCAAGATGGGCATTAAGTCTATGCAGTATCTGTGATAGCAACCTTGCCAAGATGGGCATTAAGTCTATGCAGTATCTGTGATAGCAGCCTTGCCAAGATGGGCATTAAGTCTATGCAGTATCTGTGATAGCAACCTTGCCAAGATGGGCAAGTCTATGCAGTATCTGTGATAGCAACCTTGCCAAGATGGGCAAATCTGTGCAGTATCTGTGATATCAACCTTGCCAAGATGGGCAAGTCTATACAGTACCTGTGATATCAACCTACCTGAGACTGATGTGTGTGTTTTAGCACCTCCCAGTTCCTCTTGAGTTACATCTTCATTAGTAACAGACTACAACAACAAAAACACAGCATAAGCATCTGCTCAGACAGCTCACAAAACAACAAAAACACACTATCAGCATCAAATCAGAAATGTTACAACATTACAATCACATCCTTGTTCCACAACACGTTATCAACACTGAGAGTATCGTAAGTCCATGTAACGTTTCGAGTTGGGGAGTTACGATCACCTTAGCACTAAAATCACTTCATGGAACAAGGCCCATGACTTCAAGCACCTGATCTTCAGAATCTCCAGATTTGTCTAGTTTGTAGCTTGTACAGAGATTTAGAAATATTAATACCCTTATAAGTTGGACTAGTATGTATTAAATCTTTTTGTCGTCCAAATCAATAAATATCCTTTATAAATATAACACATTTGTTTCAGTAACAACATAACAATATGCCCAAATGAATTGACACAGCAGTAAAATCTCAAATGCATTCAAAACACATTCATATTATTCTGGTCACCTTCATAAACCAGTCTGCCAATCTGGGAGTAGAGTGTTGAAAACATTCAACATTTCAGATTAATTTTTTTCTTCCCTTCTGAACGTTCTAATTAATTTCTGTCATGAAAAAAAGTTTGAAGTGCGCCATTAGAGGAAGGAAGGAAACCTGCCATGACCATATTTTCTTTCAGGTTCTCCTTTCGGAATCCTCTCAACGGATCATCTACAGAAAAAAACATGTTTTCAAAGTTTAATATTTTTTTTAAATCAATCCTACATCAAGCAATATCATTAAGGCAATCTCCACTACGATGCTGTACATCCTCACTCAATGTGACATTCTTCCTAACATGGGTCTTGTAATGACCCACAAATTTACGTCATGAATACCCAGATAATATTAATATTTTGAATAAAGACAATTCTTTTGAAAAACAGCCTCAGTGTCAGTTCTAAAACAAAAAAGATAAAATCAGATATTTTGTAGTAACACCCAAGAAAAAAACAATTTCCTGATTCATGGACCAGTGCTCTTTCCACGCCGACCATAGCCACGACTGCGAGAAAGTCGTTACAGCAAACCGATCACCTTAACGCTGCGATCGCTTTGTGGGACGTGCCCAGGCATTTGACGGTAACACCACAGTTTCATCAGTCTAAGTGACACAGTCTATGTTTGAACAGGAATCTACCACACAATAGACATACAATCGTCTTTACAAGTTAGTATGAGTCATTGATCCATTGTTCGTGTGATTAATGATGAAACCTCTGATTCAATGCTTCTAAAGCATCTGAAAACCCATAATACGAGGATATGTACAATGAAAACTTTTTTATTGCGATCTGCACTGAATTTCGCTAGTTAACAACACAATTAAGTTGATCAAAAGAGCAGAGTTGGTGATATGCTATTCCCGATGATGTGAAGATGTGTAATCGCTTTTCTTCATGGGAGCAACGGATTACCCTGCAGTTTAACCGAAACCACTGTATCACGAAAAGCGTCATCGCAAGGGCTGACTGTATGCATATTTGGCACTGAAGTAACTATCTGAAGCACTAACAAGTGACCAGAATGGCATAAACTGCAGTGATTTTTTTCAAAGCAGTCTAAGTGTAAAAGATTACAGCAGAAAAACCCTGTTTCAATTTCAATAACTATGCCAATTTCAACATATGGTTTAAACAGCCATGCTAATATACTTAACTGTTTATGCATTTTCTATATCTCTCTATGCTGAGATGTTGTTATGACAATGTTCACAAAAACAAAAACAATTGTGGGTTACTACAATATTCTCCCTCGGGTAATACGGTCTGATGTACGCCTCTTTGTAGCAATGTCACCAAAGCCGGTAGGCTAGAGATGACACTGCTACAAAGAGACGTACATCAGACCGTATTACCCGAGGGAGAAGCATACAACGTATTTATCTTACCGCCACATTGTTAAATGTACAAAGTATCATTTTATTATATTTTAAAGATCGCTACCAACTATATGACACGTAAACAAAATGGTGTCTGCCTCTCGACTGTATTTTTTACAGCAGTGAAACATATTCTGACAAGGTTAACACTGCTATAAAAATGGTTAATTATGTTTTAAGTTGAGGGTGCAAACGAATCAATGTATAAAATAGTTTAAATAAAGCAGTGAAAGTCGGTAACATAAATCTGTACATAGTGAACTCAAAAACAGCTAATCAAACTGTTTTAGAACTCCGTACACTGCATGCGTCATTATATGACGTCATACGATTGTTAGCGATACAGCTTCTCAGCGGAGAGTTTGGCGGTTACCGTGGCGGCGGGTAATATTTTTTCCAGTTGTCACCCTCCTGGGAGGGGTGACATGGAAACTTGTTACAGCGTCATTGACCAATGAAATTAAAGTATTTCACAGGAAGGTCAGATAAATCCTAGTATTTCCTGAAGTTGTAAATGTCAGAGTTTGCAATGCTCCAGGCTTTCCTCCCACTTTAAGCAGACCTAGTGATATAACTGGAATGCTGTTCAAAGTGGTGTTAAACCACTCCACCCACACTTAGTCAAACTATGTCCAGACTATACTTCGGTTACAATGCAGGGCCCCATTCTTCAAAGTGATTGTAGCGCTAGTCGTTAGTCTATGTTAAAGTATGGGAGTTACGACGTAGTGCTATGATCGCTTTGAGGAACAGGGCCCTGTACATCCTCTCTCAATATGGGATTCTACCTGACATGGGTATTATAATGACCCACACATTTACGCCATGAATACATACAGATAACAATATATTATTTCGAACAAAAGTTGAATGATCCAATTCTTTTGAAAAACAGCCTCAGTACCATCGTTCAGGCTTTCCTCCAATTTCAAGCAGAGATGTAATGATATAACTGTAATACTTTTATAAATGGCAGCAAACCTGGTGATGCCACCCAGGCTCAGTCAAACTATGTCCGTACAATACTTCAGTAATACATATTCCGTGAGTGAGTGAGTATGGTTTTACGCCACTTTTAGCAAATTTCCAACAATATCACGGCATGGGACACCAGAAATGGGCTTCACACATTGTACCGATATGCGGGAATCGAACCGGGGTCTTCGGCGTGTTGAGCAACGCTTTAACCACTAGGCTACCCCACCGCCCATATACATATTCAGTGAAAAATTGAAACCAAAACGGACACATTCCATGTTAACTTTTTCTTCTAAAAAAATAATTCTTTTCCTCCACAATTACGAGGGAGGAATGCAGAGAAAGGGACAGCCAGGTGTTAGAGAAGCACCTGCACAAGTGGCCACCAAGTTATTGATTCATTAGCCTGTGCTGTGCCGTCTCCATCCTTTCTCGCACACCTGGCTGTCCCTTTCTCTGCACTCCTCCCTCGTAACAAATAGTGAACTGTGTCAAAATTTTAATGATAGTTTCTTAAAGAACTTTTTTGGTGGTGTCCGGAAAAGTTTTAAATATAAGAACGCTGTTGGGTATTAGTAAATGATAAACATGTGTACTATTTATATTTATGTGGCAGTTTTGTACAATGATAAAATTTGCAATTCATCGGTCCGTTTCTGACTCAAACGGACTGAAAATGGGGGTATAAGTAAGAGATGAATATTGTTTTCTGTCAATTCAGTCATGGCAAATGCACAAGTTACTCGTTTCGTTCCTAACGGTCGTGGAGGTCAATATTTAGTCTACTTTGGTTACAAATTTTGTATTGAGTCGACAGAAACGGCGACAGAGTCCACTGAAAATGTTGTCAGAAGACATGTCGTTCCACCATCAACATACAGAACAACCTCGTGACAACGTACAATAATTCCCACAACCATCCAGCTGAAAATGACAAGATCCAGGTCGATGAATTCATCTTTCATGTGAAGAATCTTGGTCAGAAGTTGTCCAACCAATTTTGTTACAATTTGTTATCCTTTTAACCCTTATAAAGATATAACCTTATATTACTCCTACTTGTACGGCATTCAACTTTCCAAGACTATAGTCGATACATCAAAGACAGGATGGTAATCCCCTGTCCAGGATTATCTGTCGGCACATCAAACAAACCGGACAGGTGGTGGTGGTGGCTCATATGACGACGTGCATGCGTGTGTATGTGTATGTGCGGCTGCTTGTACTAGCCCAGACTGAAGCTGGTTTAATAGTGCTAGCCCACTGAGATACCATGCCGCAGTGAAGCATAAATACCCCACTCAGACACATTATACTGACTCCGAGCCGACCAGTCCTTGTTGTACCCATTAATGCCGAGCGCCAGACAGGGACCAACAAGTACCATATTTTAACGTCTTTTGGTATGATGCGGTCGTGGATCGAACCCGTGACCTTCCGCTCTCCAGGCGGACGCTCTAACCACTACACCACGGAGGCGGTCCCGGACAGGGGGGACTAACCCCTTTAAACACAATCAGTACATTGTTTCCTCATGACTAATTTCTAGAAGCAAGCCATTTTAACAAAAACATTTTTACATTTTGCAGCACCAAAACACCATGAATCTAAAAGGGAGAACTGCAAATCTTAATACAAATATACACGCTCTCAATTCCAACACTGCAGTTGAATAAATCTTTTGTACATGTAAACTGTATCACCTTCAAATGTTTGTTTGTTCAAAATGCTTGAATTACACGTTCCTCACACAAGTGAATTAGGAGAGTGCATTTGGAATGCAGGATTGTAAACATTCACAAATGCAGTGCACTCAGGCTCCAGTTAAAAAAATGAATTAATTTGAGTATTATTTCCTGCATGTAACCGGGAGTGTTCAGAAATAGGAATGGATTTATTTGAGAGTCGGAGTCAGAACAAATGAGTTCCAAATTTATTGCACTGACTGACTGACTAAATGGATCTAAAGCTGCTTTAATAATAATAATAACAATGCTCCAGCAATATCACGGCAGGGGACACAAGAAATGGGCTCAACACATTGTAACCATATGGGGAATCGAACCCGGGGGTCTTTGGCATGACGAGCGATTCACCGCCCACACCAGAAATGAGCTTCCGATATTGTACTACCATGA